GGTAGTAACGTTTAGGGAGTTAAATATTCTTGGAAATAAATTTACAGAACATCTGGCCCATTTCAGTAGTGAATTAGATGATATCACCTTTTTAATTTTTAGATTTGTATTAAGTAAAAATGCATTTGCCTCACAGTGAGCAATGTTAGCATTGTTTTGTTAAATAGAATGAAATCCCCAATTAACCCAACAATTGTCTGTGTATTTTGAAATGCACTTTTCTCGAAACAAATAAGATTGTACTTTAATTCTAAAGATGCAGAATAAATGGTTATTGCTTTGGTGAATGGCAGTGTTATATTTAATTTTGAGTTAAACTAGATGCAGGAACTATAATTGATTGCAGAACAATTTACTTTAATTGATCAATTCTCACTTTTATTTACCCAGCACCTCAAAATTTAAAGAGCATCAACATTAGTAAAAATCATCAATCAATCAACCAATCAATCACCCATTCTGGATGAATGTTTCTTTAACTCCTTGGCTGTTGGACTTCCATACAGTTTGATATTTTGGCAGTTCTGTTTGTTTCTCATTTTTTAAATCAATTGTTATTCTTCTTTTGGTTGTGTGAGGAAGCGAAGCGTATCTACCTATGCCTCCATTCTGACCAGAAGCTCACAACCACTTTTGACATGGTCCATCAGTCACAGCACCTTCTCCACACACAACGCAAATCTTTCTTTCTGTTTCAGTCACGTTTTTACCTTTCTCAAAATAATAAAGCATAATAAAGCATAAAATGTTGCTTATTTTCTTCCATCTTCAATATTAAAATGGCTATATAGAAGTTCACCAATTTTGATGTTTTCTTTAAATGCACGCTATGACAGCTGTCACAATAAATCTAAGAAAGATTTTTCAAATGAAGTTAAAGACAACCAAGTGCTTACTGGAGCCATCTTACAGAAGAAAACCAAAGGAGCTTTTTGCCCATCCTTGTACTATGTGGGATGTGGAAGCACCACACAGGTGATGTGTAATATATGTGTGCAGCTCAGTTTGATTTTCTGAAGTAGGGAGGCACAAATTCTTTTTTTAACAATTTCTTTTACTGGTTCATTGTAGAAAAAAATTTGTCACTGTTCCAAAGAGAAAACTGCTTCTGGGTTAATTTTGAATTTTATAACATGGATAAGTGAAAAACATATACACATTCATTTCAGACTCAAGTTATGAATAATTAAATGAATATATAATTATATCTGGTTTTGCCCTCAAGCGCAACCAGCAAAGACGTATTCAGCCCACGTAAAAAAAAGACTTCAAATTTTTTCAAAAATTATGAGTGAAGTGCCACACTTCACTGAATTTATAAGCACATAAGCAAGAATAACAATGTCTACAAAATTATACAGTGGAGAGTATAATGGCATTCAAGAATTCTGTTTAATGTACATCATGCCTTCTGAAACTTGAATTTATACAAGCACTTTCTTAAGGATGTCGTAAATGTCTTCTATGTTCTCTTATTTTACCTCTGGCCCAAGACTGAGGTGGAGCTGGGGAGCAGGTATAGACTCGGCACCTCTTCAAGTCTATTTTGGCTCAATACTTTTGTTTTGAAATATGAAGTATATAAGACAAAGTACCATGGATAATTCTGACACACGTACTCACTACATGAGTGTGGTTCCTCTCCAAGTATTTCTCTTAGATTTATCCTAATGATTCTGTCATCTTGCAGGACATATTTCTGCTTTTGGAGTGTAATTATAAAGTAATAATTGATTGCTTTTCCATGTTGCTCATTATACTGATTCTCAGTAAATCCTTAGCATCAAAAAAAATCCCCTTTTAATCTGGCCTTGGCTACTTATTTTTGGTACTGGCCTTGCACACCCATTCATCCTCCCACTGCTGTGCTCCAGTCGTGATGCAAACATGTGGTTCCTAACAGACTGTGTATTTGCAGATGCCCTTGCCTCTGCTTGAAAGCTCCTCCTCTTATTTCTAAGGGCAGATCGCCTCCTTCAGAAAATCTCCTCTTACTGATCCCACCTCCCATCCCCCTACTTTGTTTGGTTACCTTTCTATTTATCTTCACCTTGGAAGTAGCAGGTCACCTCAACCCACCAGATTGTTCACTGTCTTCATTTGCCCCCCTCTCTGATAAGTCAGCGAGCTCCCTAATGGTAGACATTGTATCTTTTTTATCTGTACCCTCAGAGCCCAACAGTACTGAGTCACAAATATTGTTCAATAAAGATTGGTCCAATGATGGCTTGTGAATGGATACAAAGGTTTGTCAAAAGGTTTGTGAAGAGATACTTGAAGTGGATAACCTAAGATAACAACTCTGAAGGTAAACATTCATGTGATTGAGACCTAGCAGAGTTCAAGATTATTTAATAAATACTAGGCAAAACTAGTGCCTCAGTTTAGTAAAATCAGATTCCCTACCTCATATATTGTATTTTTCGGACTATAAGATGCACTTTTCCCCCCAAATTTTGGAGGAAAATGGAGTTGCATCTTATAGTCTGAATGTAGCTTACCTGGCTCACTGGGGGGGGGGGGGGGCACAACGGTGGAGTGGGATCACAGGTTATTAAATATTTTACCATATTTGTTGCTTCAAAATTTTTCCCTCTTTTCCTCCTCTAAAACCTAGGCACGTCTAATGGTCCAGTGCATCTTATAGTCCTAAATATATGGTAATAAGCATATATCCACAATTCCAACTGGATTTAATGTTCATATTTTTAAAAGATGAAATTACAAAAAAACTATGACTACTTCTATAATGTCAGGGTAACTGGGGCCTATCTACACAATAATACCAAAGTCAGAACCACAAAAATGATAAGGATGGTGGCTCTGAACTACTCATAAATCTATCACTTTCCAAATGATACCTTTTACTTAGAGTATGGAAGTCATAGCTTTTTGCTTTGAATTACTGTGTAATTTTTAATCCTCACCCAAAAATACTTTTATTAATTTGAAAGAGAGAGGAAGGAGAGCAAGAGAAACATTGATGTAACAGAAAAACTGACCGGTTGCCTCCCCGAAGTATGCATATTGACATTGAATCTGTAACTCTTTGGTGTACAGGATGGTGTTCTAACCAACTGAGCCAGCCAGCCAAGGTTTATTTTACAATTTTTTAAGAATCTAAATATCTGCCTATTCAAGGAGGTACATGGAAAAAACAAGTGATTATAAAAATACGCTAAAGATTGTCCCAAAATCTTGAAACACAAGGAAAATGTCTTTTTAATACTTTTTTTAGACTAACAGTTGGACCCATTGTTTAGAGGTATTTCAACCTAAAACTCAAGGGAAAATATACTGAGTACATTGTTTCAAAATGTCAAGTAGTATATTGTTTGAAAATGTGAGTCCTATTTTCCTGACTTTTTAAACATTCTACGAAGTGTCATTTAGGAGCAACCTAAATGTTCAATAAGGAATTGTTCGTACATAAATTATCCATACTAAAAATAATGTTGCTAAATTTTATATGGCCTGAAAAAGAATTCATGATATATTTTGAAATAAAAAATTAGATTAACAGCTATTTAGTATAAATTATTTAAATTTTATAAAAACATATGTGCTATTTATGTAAACATATATGTACACAAAAATCTGGAAGGGTATACATAAATGTATTAACACTGATTATCTTTTTTTGCCTTACCCGTAGTTTCTAACATTTCAATTACAAGTACAGATAATTCACGAGTTGGGTATAAGAAGACAAAGGGTAGAATGCCTTACTCAAAACCAATGCAAACATTGATCAAGCTTATTAAACAATAAAGTTACTAAAATGAAAGATAAAGACGGCAAAAGCACTGTGTATAATTTCAAGTAATTTTCTGCCACCTTGTGGAGAACGCTATTCATTGCAGGATTGAAATAAGCAAAATATGGAACGATGAAAAATCTGTAAATGTAAATAATATTACGAGAGCATGGCTCAAGAAGTAGTTTAGCTAAAACTGAACAGCTTTGTTTTCTCTGCCAGCCATTTAACAAAATTTCTAGAATAGGAGACGGATAATAATACCTAACGCGTATATGATTACAGTGCACCAAGCACTGTTCTAATATACAAGGTAGGCAAAAGTAGGTTTATAGTTGTGTATATGCAAAAGAGTATAATTTTCCCCCCATTTTATCAATGTAACATGGACAGTTTAACTTACCAATCGTGAGTAAATGTTAAACAATGTATACCGGGAAGCTGCACTTTGGATCAATGATTTAATTTTTTGCCCTTTTCAGTTTAGTAACATTTCTGAGAGGGACTATGATGTTCTCCAAATTAATCTTATCTCGTTGAAGCTGTAGGGCACGATTGCTACTCAAAGTATGATCCACAAACGTGAGCCCTCCAGAGACCTGTTTGTTACTTGGTCTACCTCAAGAATAGTACAGAAGTTGAGCATAAGGATTTAGCAACCCTTATGGAAATTTTACAGGTAATTGATGGCTACTGGCTCTAATGAAATAAAATCTGCCATATTTTTATCTTACCAAAGCATGGCCCACAATTCAATGAAAATTTTAAAAAATATTAAACTGATCGCTTCCTACGTAGTTTGAGAATTTTCTTTACTGTTTGTTGTAAAGCTGTTCGGCCCTCGAGTTTACCAAACTCTGGATTCTTCTGAGGTCTAGTTCTCCATAATGAGGCCTCAGATAGTTTCCCTCCCTTCATTCTATCCATGTTATAATATACAATTAGTGAAGCGATCAATGCCAACGTAAAGAACGTAAAAATGGCTCTTTGAAACGCTAGGCTGCGTCCCAGCGCAGGTGGAGGACGCACTGTCAACCAAGGCGCCAGCCACTTCTGGAAGGAAAGACGGGCCTTCCCCGCGGCGCATGCGCAGGCGGTAGTTCGCCTAGGCTGAGAGGGCGGAGAGAGGGACTCCTGGGTTTCACGTAAACGCCACGCCTCCGCCAGCTGCCACGCCTGCAGAAGGTCGGGATATAGTCATTTCCACCGGGGCAGCTCTTTGCATCCGGGTCAGCTGCGCCGCTGCTGCTGTGCCGCTGCTGCTGCTGCTGCTGCTGCTGCTACGGCTGCAGCCTTGACCGGGGTGCTTGGACTTGCGTTTCCACTGTTGTCCGAGGCGAGCGGACTCCGCTCGGCGCTACCTTGTGCGACCTGGCCGTCAGCTCCACGTCGCCGGCCTGGCGGGGCGAAGAAGACGAGGGGGCCAAGGCTTCCTCCGGGGTGAGTGAGGCCCGGGAATGCTGGGCACGGCGGGTCCCAGCTGAGAACAAGCCTGCGGACGGTCGTCTGAGGGGCGCGTGCCTCGGGAGGGCCAGAGAGAGGCTGCCCGGAGCGTTATCCTTTGTAGGGGGCGCCATAGAACCTGCCCCGGAGGCGCTTCCCGGATCCCCGCCCAGCGTAGGCCCCCGCCCTTGGCTCGGCTCCTGTTTGCAATTGCCATCCTTGCCCCCACCACCTGCTTTTCCGTTTGTGGTGGTTGTGCTGCGGATGGAACCTGCCCCGTTCTGTGCCCCCCTGCACACACCCCGGTCTGGATGCGGTGACTGAGACACGTTGGTCCCCTGTTTATGCCCAGCGTCCGACCCAGTGCGGAACAAAGACACTTAGACTTCTAGTGTGCCTCGGAGAATAAACACGAGAGCGGCGTCTGTAATCAGGGCTTTAATAGACCTTCCTACGTGAAAAGCTGGGTTCCTGCGTGAATTCAGACATTATCTTGTACCTAAATACCTAGCAAAAAATGGTTTCGGCTTTCTGGTTGCATCTGATGCCACTGGAGATCTACCAAATCAGCTCATGTTAAATAAAAACTATTCGGTTCTATTACGTTACTTTGAAACTTCTCTTGTCTGTCCCAGGTGCTCTTTGAGAGCCCAGGTTTTGTCGTGTTCGTCTAGGTAGTCGTGTGTGATTGCATTATAGTGTTGCTTTTTCGGTCTCAGCTTTCTTTATTAGTATCTCTATTTCTCCTAATGCTTAATTTCTTAATTTTCTTAATTAAACATATTCTTTCTCTGATATTCTGTAATTCTGCAATTTGTAAGTGATAAGATCTGTCAAAATTATAACTGAAATTACTCAATGTAGTTACCTGCATACTATTTTCTTGATGACCTTACATGCCTTCTTATTTCTTGTCATTTTACATTTTCTCTAAGCTCTGATTCTTAGTCTGCATAATCTTCTCTGTTGCAGCCTAATATTGTTGGGGTTTGGACAGGAAGTATTACAGGTCCACTTCTGCAAACATGGTACTTGAACTAGATCATCATAAGTCACTAGGCATTACAGCACTTTTGGAGCTAAGTGTAACCAAATCTGGCATTACGGGCTTAGTCTGTATAAAGTTGCCAGTGAACTGGAGACACTGTGCTGCATTGGAAATAGTCTAGGTCTGGGTATCAGGATGTAATTTCACTTGCCTCATATATAAGATAAAAGAGGATAATAACACCAGTGTTTTATACCAGACAAAATTGTTGGTTGCAACATATGAAATGATGAATGTGCATGTGGTTGGTTAGTAATTGTGAAAAGCACTCTTTAGGAAAGCAATTCTATTCATTCCATCTGGAGTAAAGCTGGTAGCAGGAGCAGTGAGCAAGGAAGGCATTTAAGAAAGGAAGTAGTATATTTAGCCAAATCTGATAAATTAGCTTTGGCTGGCAGTAGATTGAAAAATGTCTTGTAAAGCTTATATCCTTCCTATACAGCAGAATACTAGTATAATATGATGATAGTAATATTCCAAAGTTATAATAATTGTAACTACAACAAAGTGTTAGAGATTAGTTATTAGACTTTAATCATTTTAAAGGTCTCAGCATGTCCAGTGTGGTCTGCTTATCAGTAATTTAATAAATGTACCTTTTATAGGTGTGATATATTATCCTTTGTTCTATCTTAACGATTTTGAGAAAAGACAGTACCATTGTAAATTTTCTTCAGTTTTGTGTTAACATTTCTGATAGAGTATATCATTTCATTCTTTGTTTTAATGGATTTAATTGACATAAAGCATTAGTTTCAAGTGTACAACATGATTTGATATTTGTATACATTGTGAAATGATGACCACAATGGAGTCTAGTTAATATCTATCACCATGCATAGTTAATAACTTTTTTCTTGTGATGAGAACTTTTAAGATCTCTCTTAGCAACTTACAAATACATAATACAGTATTATTACTGTATTATATTCACCATGTTGTATATTATATCCCCAGGACTTATTTTATAATCGAAGTTTGTACCTTTTGACCCCTTCGATCTTTTTGCTCACTGCCCCACGCCCACCCCCTGCCTCACCTTTGGCAACCACCAGTCTGTTCTCTATCTGTGAGCTCAGTTTTGATTTTTTGTTTTGAGGGGATGTTTTTGTTGCTTTTTAGATTCCACATGTACATGAGGTCATATAGCATTCATCTTTCTCTGTCTATTTTACTTAGCATAATGCCCACATAATCCATCCATGTTGTTGCAAATGGGAAGACCGTCCTTTTTAAAAAAATTTTAAGGAACTTTTATACTGTTTTCCGTAGTGGCTGCACCAGTTTTCATTCGTACCAATAGAGTGCAAGGGTTCTTTTTTCTCTACATCCTCTCCAGTACTTGTTATTTCTCATCTTTTTAATAATAGCCACTCTGACAGGTGTGAAGTGGTATTGTGTCCTTGCTTTCAAGGAAGCAGTGACCAGAAAACATGTAGCATTTTTCCAGGGGTGCTTAGTGATCTTTGTAAAGACATAAGATGGCCTAAATTATTTTTCTGTAGTGCTGACAGTGTTGCCAACCTCCTAGGAGAAAGCAAACATAAATATTTAGAATGAATCCCTTTCACTTAAATGGGGAAGTGAAAAGCTTGCCTGGGCATTTCCTTCTGCCAACTGTAATTGTTTTTGGCATAGATGCGGTTACTAGCACCTATGCTAACAGCATTGTTAAGCTCCATAATGGTCAGTATTTAATTTTTGCTTTATATTGCTAAGCTGCGTGGGGAAATCCCTTTCTTTGCTGTTGAAAGCAAGTCTGTTGAAAAATTAGGTTATTTTAACAAAGACTATCTTAAAGTGTTATTTCCTCATTCTGATTTACAAAGTCTACGAACAAAAAATGGGAAACATCCACAGTTAACTTCTAAGTCAGCAATATCCTGGTTTCCTTCAAAGCGCTTGTGCTTATATTGCTTCTTTCTTTCCTGTTTCCTGTTTGTTTCCTGTTCTTAGAGCAGCTAATGATAAAATGCTTCCAAGAACAGTACTCTCTGTATTGTTTCATCCGTTTTTATCTACCTAGTGTACTTTTCTTCTAAAGTTTGTGATGAAGTGGTGAATGTGTCTTAATCTTTACTTCTAGGTTTTATTTAACTGGCTGGTGGGATTTTTTTCATATATTTCATTGATTATGCTATTATAGTTGTCTCGTTTCTTTTTTCCCTCTCCACCCTGTACCACCCCTCCCACCAGCATTCACCCACCTTAATTCATGCCCATGGGTCATACATTTACGTTCTTTGGCTTCTCTGTTTCCCATACTATTCTTAACTTCCCCCTATTTTGTACCTACCATTAATGCTTTTTTCCCCCTGTACCTTTTCCCTCATTCTCCCCTTCCCCCACTCCCCCTGCTGATAACCCTCTATGTAATCTCCATTTCTGTAAATTCTGTTGCAGTTCTAGTTGTTTGCTTAGTTTGTTTTTGTTTGTTTTTTAGGTTCAGTTGTTGATAGTTGTGAGTTGTCATTTTACTGTTCACATTTTTTATCATTTTTTCTTAGATAAGTCCCTTTAATATTTCATATAATAAGGTCTTGGTAATGATAAAATCCTTTAACTTGACCTTACCTGGGAAGTACTTTATCTGCCCCTACATTCTAAATGATAGGTGTGCTGTATAGAGTAATTTTGGATGTAGGTCCTTGCCTTTCATGACTCTGAATACTTCTTTCTAGCCCCTTGTGAGCCTGCAAAATTTGTTTTGAGAAATCAGCTGATAATCTTATGGGAACTACTTTGTAGATAACTCTCCTTTTCTCTTGCTTTTAAGATTCCCTTATCTTTCATCTTGAGTAATTTAGTTATGATGTGCCTTGGTGTGTGCTTCCTTGTGTCCAAATTCTTTGGGACTCTCTGAGCTTCCTGGACTTCCTGGAAGTCTGTTTCATTCTCCAGATTGGGAAGTTCTCTTTCATTGTGTCTTCAAATAAGTTTTTAATTTCTTGCTCTTCCTCCTCTTCTGACACTCCTATGATTCAGATGTTGGAATGTTTAAAGGTGTGCTGAAGGTTCCTAAGCCTCTCCTCGTTTTTTTGAATTCTTGTTTCTTCATTCTGTTCTGGTTAAATGTTTATTTCTTCCTTCTGGTCCAGGCCATTGATTCGAGTCCCATTTTCCTTCCCATCACTGTTGGTTCCCTGTACATTTCTTTATTTCACTTTGCATAGCCTTCACTTTTTCCTCTATTTTTCGACCATACTCAACCATTTCTGTGAGCATCCTGATTATAGGATGTTTTGAGCTCTATGTCTGATAGATTGGCTATTTCTTTATCACTTAGTTCTATTTTTGGAGCTTTCATCTGTTCTTTCATTCGGGCCATATTGTTTTGTCTCAGTGTACCTGTTACATAGTAAGGGGCAGAGCCTTAAGGATTTGCCAGGGCAGAGCAACCCACTTGGCTACATTGTGATGCTATATGTGGGGGCGGGGGTCAGAGAGGGAACATTGCTGCTTGCTTGGCTCTTGGCTGGCTTTCAGTCACTTCCCTAGCTACCCACAAGCAAATTGGGCCCATCTGGTGCTGATTCCTGGGTGGATGGGCTTGTGTACATTCTAGGGCTCTGTGGGTCTCTCCAAGGAACTCTCCTGTGAGGCTGGGAGTTTATCCCGCTGCCGTAACCCCCACAGGTGTTTACAGCCAGAGGTTTTGCGGCTTTGTTTCCCCGAGCTGGAACTCTGGGTTGCATGGTCTGTCTCACTTCCCAGTTGTTCCTCCCAGTTTATCCGAACATAAATGTGGGACCACCTGGTCCACCAGTTGCTGCTTTGCCTGCCCCAGTCCTTTAGCCACCACCTTGCCGTGAGTACTTTCTGCCCCAGCTGCCCATCTCTGCCCCTCTTACCAGTCTGGATGAGTGTTTCTTCTTTAACTCCTTGGTGGTTGGGCTTCCTTACAGTTCAATTTTTCTGGCAGTTCTGGCTATTATTTGCAAATTTGTTGTTTTCCTTTTGGTTGTGCAAGGAGGCAAAGTGTATCTGCCTATGCCTCATCTTGGCCGGGAGTCCTAACTAGCTTATTTAATTACCCCCAAACTAAATATCCATGTTCACGCACTGTGATGTGTTAACATCACGTGATTTCAATATGATATTAAAGTAAACATTGAATGAATGGGCTGAATAGACATTTCTCCCAAGAAGACATACAAATAGCCACACATAAGAAAAGATGCTCAACTTCACTACTGTTAGGGAAATGTAAATCAAAACTATAGTGACATACCACCTCACACCTGATAGAATGGCTGTTATCAGCGAGACAATAACAATTGTTGGAGGGGGTGTGGGGAAAAGGGAACCCTCATTCACTACTGGTAGAAATGCAGACTGTACAGCCAATATGAAAAACAGTATGGCGGTTCCTAAAAAATTAAGAATAGAGTTACCATATGCCACAGTAATCCTTCTTCTGGGTATCTACCCCCCAAAACTCAAAAAAACATTTCTTCACAAAATTATATGTACCCCTATGTTCAGTGCAGCATTATTCACAGTAGCCAAGACATGGGGACAAGCGCCTTAGATAGAGGATTGGATAAAAATGATGTTGTACATATGTACTAGGGAATACTGCCCAGGCGTAAGAAAAGATGAAATACTGTCATTTGTGACAACGTGGATGGACCTTGAGAATATGCTGAACAAAATAAGTCAGTAAGAAAAAGCTCAAAATCATGATTTCATGCATGTAGGATATAAAACTGAAACTCATGAACACAGACAACAGTATGGTGGTTACCAGAGGGAGGGGGGTAGTTTAGGGTTAAAGGAACCAAATATATGGTGATGGAAATGATTTGACTTTGGCTGGTGGGCACACAGTGTGATATACAGATTATGTATTATAGAAATGTATACTTGAAACATATATGATCTTGTTAAACCAGTGTCACCCCCACAAATTTAGTTTTTAAAAAATTGAAAAATAAGCCTAAGAGGTTGAGCAAAACATAGGTTTCCTAGCCAGTGTCGTACCCTACAATTAAATATTCACTCATTTTGCTAATAGTTACAGGCCTGTTCTTCGCCAGGCACTGTGCTGGGTGTCGGGAATATAGTGGTAGCAACTTTGAGTTACTACTTTTATCTTTGAAATATTAAATATTTTTCTGAGTATGTGGGATATTTAAAAAAGGTACCCGGAACATCCTGATATTTTCTCAACACCCAGTTAAAAGAGACAATATAATAGAAACTTTCTGACTATTGAGTTTAGAGAAATATATTAGTTCACTTTAGAGTATCAAATAAATTCAATAAATATTAAAAAAGAAAACATTGAGAAGTGTAGTAAATTAAAATTTTGGAAGAAACTCAGTTTTCAGCCTTTAGTAACAGAACGTTTCCATCTCACATGAGCATAGAGTAATAAGTACTGAATGTTTGGGCTTTGGGGCCTTAATTTGGGATTTCTTTGTTTACTAGTACTGCATTCTAAGTAGAAGAGGCTGCGTGTTAACACAGGTATCCAGAGTTTTTGTGTATTTTCCTCTATAGTGTGAGGAAGAGTTGCTATCAGAACAACCTATGAAGTGATCATTGAAGATGTATGCTAATTACTTTAAAGTGTAGGCTGCATATTAGAAACAGAGAAGCTGTGAAATACATCAAGATTATTGTATTTTAAGTGTGTTTTGTTAATTTTTCAAAATTGCATGCCTCATGGTTTTGCCAGAGAATTAAAAGTGCCTTTCTCCTATATATAAAGTAACTTTTTGAAGCAAATTTGTTAATGAGAGAAAGACAGCATTTACCATTTTTCCATATTAACAGTTGAGTCCTCAAAAATTTAAAGCTTTCAAGGATGTTTGAAGCCTTCCCTTGAGCATAAATAGAAATTCAAACTGGGAAGACAGCCTCCCCTCTTGGCAGAGATACGAATATAGTTGATCATGTAAAGTCTGACACTTTAGAAAATTTCCAGTGCACGATAATTTTATTGTTCTAGAACATGATGCTTTTTCTGTACAGCTTTGTGCATCTTTTGTGTATTATAATGACATAGCAGATAAAGCAACCATGTCTTTGTTTTAGAAGACTCTTGTTTAAGTGAATGTGCATGGCTCACACCACTTGTTTTATATGATAAGTATTTTTAAAGTTATTTATACATGGTGTTAAATCAAATAGTCTGGAGAGATTTACTATGAAGAGAATCAGTTATTCTCCCCATCCCATGCTCTTCTAGTGGTGTAAACTACTTTTAACTTTGTTTTTAATACTTCTAGTGATATGTTGCTTTCTCAGTTAAGAAATACTAAATACTATATGTTTTACTGCTTTTTTAAATAAATAACTTTAGACATCTAATGTAAGTGAACTAAATACTAATTTATACCTCTTGCCCCCTAAAGTTGTCAATTTGTATTGCACTGTTAACCAGTTGATCTTCATGCCTTTTTAAATAATACATTTAAATCTCCATTTTTATTCTGTATTTAAATCTCTATTTCTTATTCCATCAACCAAAACAGTATTCAAGTTCCTCACTTTGTAAAATGAGGATCTTCGAACCCACATTCTTCTTTGGAAAACTAAAACTAAAATTTATGGCTTAAGTTAAAACATGTAGTTGCATGAACAGAAGTATTCACTAAGTTCAGTTGGTGAAAACTTATGCTGAAGTATAGATGAGAAAAGCTTGGTATAGATATGAAGCAAATCAAATGTAGCATAATTCATTTACTGGACAGTCAGTTACTGGACAGAGGCTCAGGAATTGTGGTTATTGAAACTGTCGGAAAGGAAATACAAATGACAGCACACCACTTGGCTCTGCTGAATCATGAGACCATAACTGCTGACCACTATAAATGCTGACCACTATTTCCTAGTGTTCAGTTTCTAGAATCAACCTCTATCCACAGAAAATGCATGGATCTAGAATAGAGAATATAGTTATTTACTTTGATTCCTTGCCCTTGCCCCCATTTTAAATCACACGCAAAATATATTCTATTTTTTGTTCTAATGTTTTTTTAAATGGTAGTTGCAACCAAATAAGTTGATTTCACGACCAGACTGTTGAACTAAAGCTAGAGGTATGATCTAAAGTATAAGATTGCTGTACCTTCTCAGCTGATAAAAAGTTAAATGAAAAATAAGCTGTTAACCTAATTTTTTTCTTTCCACAGGACGTTGGCTCTCTGGACTATCAGGAGCTGGCAGTTGACATTGAGTCCACGCTGAGGATGGAAGGTGTGGAACTTAAGGAAGAATGGCAAGACGAAGATTTTCCAGTGTGAGCAGAGCTTTTCAGTGAAAACAGATTTAGAACAAAGCTTCGACATTTCTATGTTGTGGTGTCCCCTATTAAATGAATATTGGGCTTGCTTTTCTGCTGTTAAGAAAAAAACTTCTTACATAAATAAGCAAAGACTTCCTAGATCATCTGGCCAGCTACCTTGACAGATTGGCATCTTTATTTACAATTATATTGGCACCAGTTGGGTTACTAGAAAAAGAGCAAAGGCAGATTTTTTTTCCAATTTTATTGAGAAATAATTGACATACATCACTCTGAGTTTAAGACATACAGCATGATAGTTAGCACACCTTGTATTTCAATGATGTTACCACATCATCATGGTCAGAGAACCATCACAGTCAGGTTTCTTCACAGTTGCAAAGGACTGATGGGAGTGCTGACTCATTGCATAGTACTTGATACTAGTAATAATGGAAACGTTAATATTCAACAGAATTGTAGCCATCATTACCATATTCACATTGTAACAGTTTAGCTTCCTCATACATTGTATCATATTTCACATTAAATTCATGCATCTAATTTCTGTTTGTAAATTTATAATCTTTATATTTGTTTTATAGTTGTATTTAAGGGCAGTTACATAAGGAAAAGTGGTTTATAAAATACTAAAGCATAAGAAACACTTTTATTCAGTCTTCCACATACTGTTTCTATTAGCTATTTTTAATAGAACTTAAAACTTCAAAACAATTTTATGTGATTTCTTGATTAAAAAGTATGTCTGTGCCTTCCAGACCTTTACCAGAAGATGATAGTATTGAAGCAGATATATTAGCTGTAACTGGACCAGAGAGCGAGCCTGGTAAGTACTTGACACTTTTAGTTTCAGTAAAATGATAGGCTTTGTGCTATTTTTTAACACATTTTTTTTTGTCAAGGAAAAAAATAATAATACCCAGCTGTTGTACCATGATAGGGAGCCAAAGGATAAGTCAAATGTTGAGGGGGGAAAATTTTTGGAATACTTTGGAGGATTTTGGAATTTTCTACACTTTAGGAATAAGAGATCATTTTTAGTGGTCAGAAGTGGCTGGGAGATCTTCCCCTATGTAAAAGGAAATATCCTTGCTGAGGGACATTATCTTGCCAGGACGTAGAAACAATACTGATCAGAATCTAGAGTTGCAAATTGTGCTTTGGGATTGTGTTTAATTAATGTAATTTTTCCTAAGGATGAAGTGGGCATTTAAGCATTCCTTTTAATACATGTTTTACTTGGTTTACTCATTCCAGGCCCACTAGAAGTTAATGGAAATAAAGTAAAAAAGAAACTAATGGCTCCAGACATTAGCCTGACCCTGGACCCTAGTGATGGCTCTGTGCTGTCAGATGACTTGGATGAAAGTGCGGAGATCGACTTAGATGGCTTAGACACGCCGTCGGAGAACAGCAATGAGTTTGAGTGGGAAGGTAAATGTTCTGTTGCTTTTATCTGACCTTTGTTAATGAATGTTGGTCTCTCTATACGCACATGTTTTGTAATGGCACTCTCATAGTAGGATAATTTTAAAAACTTAAGGCTTGATCATGAAACCAATTAAAAGTAACGATTAAAGGATTTTGTTGAAATATGATATTATTCTTTATAAAGTTCATGAATTTTTTACTAAATTGTGAGATTCTGATAACACCAAATATTCTCATGGCTTTTGAATTATTTGTAGTAAATTACACCGGTGGCTTTATTTATTTTATCTTTTTTTCTTAATTGACCAACGCTGTAAAGTTGTGCTTTTTCATTTTCAGTATCAAAATATTGCTTGATAATTATGGCATATTCTTATGTTCAATTCATCAGCAAAGAAAAAAAGCTTTGAAGATCTGTACTAAAAGTGGTTAAGGATTTGCAGAGTGGGAGTTCTAAAGGGAGTTTTTTAGGGTGATTTTTTAAATAGGTTTGCCTGATAGTGCTACACTTTGTAAACCACCAGCTTGAATCCCCGTGTACTTTAGCCCCCAACTTTCCATAACTCATCATTTGTTATCAAGAATCCAAAAGAATTTGCATGTGTTTTGCTTTGCGTGCTTTCTTTAATTAGATAATTGTTGTTTATAGTATCTTTGTATTGTTAGTAATTTTTACATATATATTCCATCTTTAAAGGGATTTTTAACTTCAAAGCACTGTTTAGTGCTAAGTATTGTTATCTGCAGTGAAGAGTTAAGATCCTCGATATGCTATATCTTTTGTTCCTTTTTTTCTTCCCTATTTTACTGGTTCAATAAGCAGTCCAGTAATAAGCAATATTTTATAAAGATAACTGAAAGTTTTCTGCATATGTGTTTTGTCTCTTCTTTCTTTAATGCTGCTGTAGTCATTTCCTGGAAGGATATTTTCCGTTAACAGCTTTATCTTGGAAACAAACAACTAACATGCAGTAGGCCCCCCCTTCCCCCATCTTTTGGTAAGGACTATGATGCTAAAATTTTGAAAATCATTACATCACTAAAAATCAGCTAATACGCAATCTTGAAATATAAATTACACTTAATCATCAGTGCCTATGCTTTGGCTAATGTCAATTTAAAATATACTTTTGCATGTGTACTTCAAAATATTATCAGTAAATTTATGCTTAAAAATTGATCAAATGAGAAATAATTACTGATTAGTTAACCACTTTCTACTGGTATCATAATGTTGGGGAATGATTTATGTGCTCAACAACAACAACAAAAAACGATTGTCTCCTAGTAATTAAGTAACCTGCAGTGTTGACAACTGTCAAGGACAATCTTATTATAAACAGAATGGGAAAGGCATTTTAGGGCCATTGTGCTAAGATTTTGATGGCTATGAATTACCTTCTCTGAACTTGTGGATATACCTTGTACTATGATTAGGTGCTTTCTGAATTAGGCAATACAAAAAAAGTTAATTATGATTTCCAAATATAAAATGACTTCATATCAAGAGCAAGCCTTTCCTTCTGTTATGGAAAAAATATTTTAAATTCCACAGGAAGTATAATGAAACATTCTCCAAACATTCTAATTAGATAGCAAAGTGGTTAACATGTAATTTATTTTTGTGGTATAAATAACCATTTGGGATTCAAAACTTTTTATTTTGATAGATGATCTTCCAAAACCCAAAACTACTGAAGTGATTAGAAAAGGCTCGATTACGGAATACACAGCAACAGAGGAAAAAGAAGATGGACGACGCTGGCGGATGTTCAGGATCGGAGAACAGGACCACAGAGTTGATATGAAGGCAATTGAACCCTATAAAAAGGTTATCAGTCATGGAGGTAAGGATTAATAAAGATTGTCAAGATTTTTTAAATGTAATATCAGAAACCTAAATGCTTGAAGAAGCTCTCCCTTGAGAAATTACATAATTTTGAAATCATAATAAACACTTACCATGCCATTTTAGAAATATAACAGGTTTGAAGTAAAACGATAAAAACCAACATTTAAAATCATTAATACACGTACATAGTAAGTTCAAAAGGTCTAAGAATGTGCAATGAAAACTCTCCCTCCCACCCTGTCCCTTGACACTGCCCTGCAAAACTGAGACTTTCTCCCCTATTTTGGCCATTTCTAATTTATGTGCAGTGAAATGTTTTAATCCATTTTTGTAGCATTTGCAATTTTTTCCAGTTTCACTGAGATATAATTGACATGTAACATTGTATTGTAAGTTTAAAGATGTATACAGCATGTTGATATGGTACACTTAAATATTATAGAGTGATTGCTACCATAGCCTTACCTCATCAGCTCACATAATCACCATTTCTTTTTTGTGATAAGAACATTTAAAATCTACTTTCTTGCCCTGGTCAATATGGCTCAGTTAACTGAAGCATCGTCCTGTGGGCCAAGTAGTTGTAGGTTTGATTCCCGGTCAGAACACATGCCTAGGTTTCAGGTTTGGTCCCTGGTCTGGGCATGTACAAGAGGAAACTGATCAGTCAGTGTTTCTCTGTCATGTCAATATGTGAGGAGTGAAGCGGAAAAAAAATGAAAAAGAACCTACTTTCTTAGCAACTTTCAAATACATAATTCAGAATTATTACTAACTGTTGTCACCATGCCGTGTATTAGATTCCCCAAAATACGCATCTTCTAACTGCAGGTTTGTACTCTTTGACATGTCTCCCCTCTTCCCCTCCTTCAGCCCGTAGTAACCACCATTCTATCTGGTTTTGTTTCTGTGGGTTTGACTTTTTTAGATTCCATATCTAAGTGATACCATATTTGTCTTTATTCTGTCTGACCTATTTTATTTCACTTACAGATGTTCTAATCCTAAGTGTACAGTTCAACGACTTTTGACGTATTCCCTTGTATAGCCTACATCCCTAGACAGGTAGAGCATTGTCACTGCCCCAGAAAATTCTCTGTACCCCCTCCCGAGGACTGCCTCTCCAGTAACCACTGTTCTCATGTATGCCCCATGATTAGTTTTGCCTGTTTCCAAATTCATGTCACTGGAGTCATATGGTGTGTATTCTTTGGTCTACTTTTGCTCAGCATAACATTTTAAAAATTCACCCATGTAGTTATATGCACCCATAGTTCATTCCTTTTTCCTGCTTAGTGGTTTTCCATTGCATGGGTAACCCCCAGTTTGCTTATCCTCTTCCTTTGCTGGACGTGTGAGTTGTTTCTAGTTTGAGCTATTACGGTTAAAACTGCCATGAACACTCTTAAACAGCAATCTTGTGGATATAAGTAAAACCTGGTTTTTTAAATGATGGCTCTTAATTTACCTTAACGCCCTGAACAAATATTTTGTCTTTACCACAAAGTAGAGAACCCGTTCATTCCACATTTTTATGGAGCATGTACTTTGTATATTTGAGGGATATACAAAAATATAAGGCTTTGTCCCTTTTCTTAAGAAATTTACAATTCAGGAAAAGCTATGAAATACAATTATAACTTCCGTCAGTCTGAATTGCTATATATAGAAGCTTATTTACCTCAGCTTTGTGTAAATAGTGCCTGAAAATTAGTGGTAGCCCAAATGTAACTCACTCTGTAGAGCTTGTCACATTACCTGAAATCTTCCTATGCTGGCAGGGGTCCACCTGGGTTAAGCTGATTGGGTTTGTTTTTTTTTTTTTCACATAAAATTATTTCCATTTAACTTACTCTCTGCCAAATCCCCTCCCCCCCCCCCCCCGCCACTTATTTCTGTGGTCTTCATCTGAAAGCAAATCACTTGAGTGTTTGCAGTTATATTACTCTGCCTAGTTTAATCTTATTCAGATGAAAAATAAAGGATAATCTGGGTCAGGAATCCACAGATGCATTAATTCAACTAGATCATAGCAAGTAGGTTTTGAGATCTACTTCATGGTTTAAACAAAGTATTTTTCAGAAATAATACTTAACTTTTCTTACAGGAAAATAATTAGTGCCATCGTATCCTGTTGAATTTATCAAAATTGTTTCGTGACTTAAGGGATCAAGCAAAGTAGTTAAGATTCTAATGTACTTGGAATGTTCAGACCTTTGCAGTGCATGTTAGTAAGCAGTAGAAATGAAAGGTAAAACAAAAATTGTTACTGGGTACATCTTAGTATCTAGATTACAATTCAAAAATACACATTTTTAGCACTGCTTTTCTTAGAATTATGTCAGAGATACAATCTTTTCTTGGGTATTAACACCCTAAAATCTACAAAATTCAGAGCAATGCTGAATGTAAAACTCTTTGAAAAGCACCCTCTTTAACCTAAGTTGCATAAGAATGTTTTATGGCAGATAATGTTGTGTTGTATCTGCTTGGATTACATCACCGTATTTGTCTACTTATTAAAATAAGTCTGGCTTTCTGATTATGCTTGTTAAGTGGGTTTCTGATTTTTATGCCTACCCTTTTCAGATTTTAGTGTTGTCCTTTTTTGACAGGAGGGAATTTAAAGATCTTTCAAAAAAATACTTTTTGATCCAGAAGTTTGTAGAAAGTAAACTGCAATACTCTTAAGAACCATGTCCTTAACAGATGTCCTCTGAAAAATCTTCAGAGTAAAATCATACTGGTGATTTTATCTTTGGTTTTTTGTTTGTTTGTTTGTTTTTTTCAGGATATTATGGGGATGGATTAAATGCCATTGTTGTGTTTGCTGTCTGTTTTATGCCTGAAAGTGGTCAACCAAACTATAGATACCTGATGGACAATCTTTTTAAGTATGTATATCTTCACAGAAATGTTTGGACAGAATTCTGAGTTAATCAGATGCCCAATTTGAGGAAGTAAAGGTTAGCTGGGTAAAAATTATAAGTATCCCATTTCTGGTCTTTTTAAGTACTTATTCTTTGACATTATGAAACTTACCTATTTCCTAAGTCAGCAGAAAAAAATTGTTATTTTAAAACTGGAAGGGATATTTCAGATGATCTGTTTTAACTTCTTTATTTTACATTTGAGAACACATTACACATTGAGTATAAAGAAATGACTTTTTCATTCTCATACAGGTAAATTACATTTACCTCCAAAAAAACAAATGTAACTAAGCTGACTCAGTTCTATTGTATTTCCACAAAATGCTCTATTTCTCAAGTTAGTGCAATTTTTTAAAAGTTTGTTTTGGAAAATTTCAGACATACAAAGGTAGAGAGCAGTATTGAATCTGTGCACCAATCACCCACTTCCACAATTACCAATCATCAATTATCTACAATTTATACTTCCCCCACTATAATTTTGAAGCAAATCCCAGATATCGTGTTATTTCATGTATAAACATTTCAACATGTATTTGTAAAAGATAACCATGTTGCCCCAATATAATTAATTTTATAAGTAAATGATAAGAACTCTTTTAGAATAATCATTATACCAACTAACTATTAAATTTTTTATTGAAGGAGAGAAGGGAACTGTATAATTTGAATAACCTAGTTATTCAAAACTAGTTCTGCAAAACTATATTTGAGGCTTTAATTTGTTTTTTTTTAGGTATGTTATTGGCACTTTGGAGCTGTTAGTAGCAGAAAACTACATGATAGTGTATTTAAATGGTGCAACAACTCGAAGAAAAATGCCCAGTCTGGGATGGCTCAGGAAATGCTATCAGCAAATTGATAGAAGGTACTAAAATGCAAGTTGAAAGCTATAGTCTGAATAATTTATATAATGGCCTTATTATTGTACATTATTTTCTGTTGCCACTTAAAAGGTCCCATGTTCACACTTTCTGAATTACATTTATTAATTTCATAGAAAGTTTCTGTTTTCTCAAGTCAGTATCTTAGAATGTTATAAAGGAAATTAGTTTTGATAATAGAACTTTATTTTTCCTTATTCATGCAGATTGAATATTTTCCTGTGATTTAAATTTTGGGAAAGAATGGAGAACTTAGTACCTTTCCTATTTTATTACACTCTGAGTTTTGCCTAACTTATAATGTTAACATATTTTATGTTAAGGTGCTTGTTTAGCTGTAATTCTTCTTTGGAATGAGTTCTAGAAGTGCATTCTCCTGGACGTTAGTCATCCATGCTAATGGAAGGAACTTTGATCCTCTCATTGGTTTGATTTGACCATAGTTAATCCAACTAGTTTAATCCATTCGGACCCTTTATAGGTTTCTCTTCATACCTAACCATGACATAGGCTAGTTCTTGTGATTTTAAAAAAAGAAAGAAAGAAAACTTCTTAATCACTTTGAGTGTGAAATATCTGTGATAAAACAGTTATTTGGTCATTTTAAGTTGTCTAAAATAATGCCTTTAATTTTTAATAAAAATTTTAGACTTTGTAAGAATGCACAGGATCTAATTTCTGCTGCCTGTTACTATGGTGATTTCCACTCCCAACTGTCATGGTGTTGAAATTAATACCAGTTTCCTCCCAGTTCTGAAAAATGTAAACAGTTGACAGAGTCCTAAAGACAAGGGAACGTATGTTAGGAGACATTTTAACAAAAGACTATACATAAATTTAACCAAGTGAAGTAAAGTTCATTTCATAGCAGTAGGAGGGAACATCAGAATTCAAGAGTTTTGTTTTGTTTTGTTTGTTTTTTGGCTTTGTAGGAGTATCACATCTAAATGAGAACTCTTGGGTGCGGGATTTTCAAGTAATTTTTTGTATAAATTTCCATATACTCATTGATGTCTTATCCTTTAGCATTAGGATTTCTACAGCTTTTTAAAATTTTCTTTCTTTTTCAACTCTAGGTTACGGAAAAACCTAAAATCTCTAATCATTGTACATCCCTCCTGGTTTATCAGAACACTTCTGGCTGTTACAAGACCATTTATTAGGTAATTTTCTGAATGCCTCTGACTTTATGAGAAAGCAGAAACACAGACTCCTTGTATGAATTTCTTGTCAGTTCTGTTGGTCAGAAATATTGAGGTAATTATTTTTATTTTCTTCCATAGCTCAAAATTCAGCCAAAAAATTAGATACGTCTTTAATTTGGCAGAACTAGCGGAACTTGTCCCCATGGAATATGTTGGCATACCAGATTGCATAAAACAGTATGTTTTGTTTTATTTCTTTAATTGTATTGGATCTTTATATTTTGATTGCAAGGGGTAAATATTTTTGATACTCATTTTTTCTCACTTCATATATAATACTTTGTAACTTCTCTTCTTTTTATAACAAAGGAAAAGGAGAAAAAGCCATTTTCTAGCACCTTCCCCATAAGTCACCATTTTCTTTAGCCAGTTGAAGAAATAAGAATAATTATTTCTGGTTGTGATTCATTTATATTTGTAAAGACTGGTTGGTTACAGTCTAAGAGGTGATTTCCCGATTGGTCAGTGCTGAAGAACATTCTCCAAACTTGTACATGCTTCTCTCCTCATTGGAGTGATTGGAGTAATTTGATTAAAAGCTCATCATGACATTAAGTAATATTACTAGAGAAAATATTATTTAGATCAGCACAGCCTTTAAACTTTCAAGTGACTGGAATTTACTCTGTTTACCAAATTCCCTTCTATCTAATTTTTAAAAGGGCTTGATAGGGGCTTCTAACATAAGTACTTGAGTATCATGGTGCTATAATGTAAAAAGGGTTTTTTTGTTTTGGGTTTTGTTTTTGTTTTTTTAGAGCGGTGGTTATTCTAAGATTTTAGTCTGCTTAATGTATCAAAGCCAGATTTTTTAAGTCAGTTTTGATTTTCTGTGTTACTCTATGAAATAACTTTTAGTTTTGCCTATAAACTTAAATAATTTCATTTCAGTGCATTTTTAGTATTATTATGTTGATAACATGTATATTTACTAAAATAACTCTTCCCTACCAAGGTATGAAGAAGAAAAGTTAAAAAAGAAACAAAAAAGGTATATGCACACCTTGACTGGGTTGCATTTAGACTAGTCCATTTGCACTGCACAGACTAACTCTTCCTTACTGGTTGGTTAGCTTGTAGACAAAGATAATGGCATTTATAAATATAAATATATCCCAGAACCCAAGTGCAGAGTGAGTCCAAAGTACCCGATGCTGAACATGGCTTGGATTTACTCTGTTTTAACACCACATATGATGCCAATTAGGAATTAAAGGCCACAGTCCATCCACCCCCTCCTTTTTGGTATAAATACTGATGGTGAAACAGAGAAATTACTAAGAATACTGTTTAAAAAATTAATTACTTTTAAGACTTTGTCTTTTTTGCCATATTTTTAAAATCTGGAACTTGTGCTTTTCAACTATTTGTGCACTTTTTAAAGAAATTATTTTATTTCCCTGGGGTTGATGATTATATTTAAAATGCCCATATTCTTTGGCTAACCAACATTGATTCCCTATATGCTTAAATGGCCTGCTAACCAGTCAAATTCTACATGTGACAAAATTCCTAAAAGTTCAATGTACCATTTAATAGTTAAACACTCTGCTTTCCATCTTAAATTTAATTTTGAATAATTCTGCTTTGAGCATAACACTATTATCTATTAATACTTTGGCATAGAAGATGAAAGGCCAGGGCATAAAACAGTTACATTTTACATAGTGATTTTTAAAAGTGTAGGATTTGGATCTAACTTGTTAATGGACTTTTAAAATATTGACAATTAAATTAGCAATATAATTTAATACAATCTTTCCTAAGAGGTAGGGTAAGAGGTTTATATGTAGTTATCATTTTGACCATTCTTAAGGAACCAATTATAAGTAACTGGAATTGGAACATTCTTAACTTTGGACATATTTTGTCTCTGTTGATGAGCAAGAATTCAGTTGACCAGGTGAGAGACTAATAGCTTTACCTTTCTGTGTGACCCTTTACAATTTAAACAAACATTTTAACAGAGACATGGACAGTGATTTCAAGATCTTGCTAATTTCTCATTCCTTTCTAGGCATTGGTGTGCATTTGTCAGACAAGTGGCTGAAATTAAAAATATAATCTGTAATTGTAGAGTATTTTGAAGCCAGCTGCTTCATAGATTTCAGAGTGAATTGCTTTCGTTAATGAAATCTGCTGTACTCTGCCTTTTAACAAAGTTTTTAGCGTTAACTGTTAATTTAGGTATCAGAGAAAAAAGTAGAACTATACTTTTTATATAAATGTATTGTTTGAAACCCACCCCTATTATTATTTTTTTATCTTTTTCTCCTTTTGTTCAACCTTAATTAGAATCATTACATATATCTTTCAAGCAGAAACTTCTTAGTTTTTGTACAAAGTTTAGCCTTAAAAAAATAATAAATCCTTGTTAGCTTGAAAATGATAACATTCAAGTTTTAAAAATAAAGGGGTATGTTTTTTAAAACCAAAAGTTAACAGGCTTCATGTGGGGGAGCTTACTTAAGGTGACATCTCTATGATGAGTACTCATGAGAAGGAGGATACAAAACTGAATGTTGAAGGACAGTCATGCATCACTTAATGATGGGATAAGTTCTGAGAAATGTGTGGCTAGGCTATTGCATCATTGTGCGAACATCTTAAGAGTGCACTTACACAGACCTGGGTGGTATAGCCTATACATACCTGGACTGTGTGGTATAGCCTGTTACTCCTAGGCTGTAAACCCGTACGGCGTAGAGCTGTACTGATACTATACATACTATAGGAAGTTGTAACAATGGTAAATGTTTGTTTATCTAAACAGAAAAGTTACAGTAAAAATACGTTGTAAAAGATAAAAAATGATACGCCTTATAGGACACTTACCAGGACTGGAGGTTGGAGGATGGAAGCTGCTCTGGGTGAATCAGTGTGAGTCATGAGTGAGTGTGAAGGCCTAGGACATTACTGTATCGTACTGCGCTGTGACGTTACAGTGTCACTAGGTGATAGGAGCTTTAGCTCCATTATAATCTTGTGGGGCCATCATGGTATATGAAGTCCATCATTGACATCATTACCTGGCGCATGACTGTAAGGGGCATTTTAATATATCACTTGACAAAATCATTTTTGAGAGAACGTTTTCTTGCCACTCTCTTATCAGTTAGATCTGTGCCCCAGCTGTGCTACAAGTCAGCATTTCAGTATGCCTATTGTAATTTAAACTTTAAATAAAGTTTATGTGCACTTGTATGTATTTTATAATTTTTAAAGAAACAACAGTTACATTTCTTGTCAGTGTCTTCTTGACTTTAAAAATTATCTTCCCTTGTTTGGGAAGTGTTTGGTAACCTTTTTTACTATGTCTGCTTCTTGGCAAAGCTTTGTTTTTAACAGAATAATGTTCTATGCTAAAAGTAATCATTACTTTTAAGAAGAAAATTATTCAGTTGCTAGTGTTTTATTATCTATATTGTTTTTCATTAAACAGAGTTGATCAAGAGCTTAATGGAAAACAAGATGAACCAAAAAGTGAACAGTAAGTTTGGCATCTAGCCCAAACAAGACTGAAGAATGTACTGATGAAGCAATGCTCTTTTTTGCATTTATAATGCATTTATTGGCCATGATTTTTATGTAACCTGTTAAAAAATTGACTTGACTTTTTTCTCAGTGGACTTTTGTATAAGGGACTGTTCACTGCTGTATTGGTGTTTGCAAATCTCTTGAATTTAGCTCTTTACTAGCTAATTGTATTGTAATCATTTTATATTTTGTATTGCTAAAAGTAGAGAACCACACTTATACTGCTTATATAAAGCAGTTTTTGCATTTGTTTATTGAACAGTGCATCTTCTTCAGTAAAATATTTATATGCCTAATTGGTAAAGGAAAGAGATAATATATATTTTTATGTTCTGAGCAATATTTTTTATGTATACCTGTCTTGTAGAAGAATGTACAGGTAAATAAGAATATGATTTTGTAAAGTGCATGTTGGAGTTTTTGTATTTTGTACATGGTTATCTACATTTCCTGGCTAACTTAAAAATCAAAGTGTCTCATAAGGTGAGGGACAGTTCAACTGGTTGTCATGAATACCCAAAGGTCATGTACATAATCTAAGTAGATTAGTATCATCCTAAGCTTTTTTTTATCACTTACAATATATTTTTCCTTACTTCAGAAGCACAAATAAAAGTGCATTGCACACTTTTTTTTAAAACTTAAACTTAAAAAGCCAGTTGTAGAACTAGAGAATTTAAGAGGCTAAGAATTGAGGTATATAAGAATATATGTATATGTGGGACATTTTATCCTCTGGCCAAAAGTCAAACCTTTATAAAAATCTTTGATTTGTTCACTAATGTGAAATAAGCTGTATCCAGGGTATCACTCTCCTGAAGCTGTGTGAGTGCAGTGTACTATTTGGAGAATGTGTTGAGTTATTCACTGTCATTACTTTTCTGTAGGAAACAGGAGCTGCTTTATTACGTGCTCTCAATATGGGCACTTTACCAAAATACTCGCCTATCGATTATTTGAACTTGATAGGTGTTTGACCTAGTCAGATGTGGTGCGTTATTTTCTAGATCTTAGAACATCATCGTATTGTACTATTTTGGGTGACACATTTGATACAGCATATAAACTCCTTGTTTAATTTAATAAGTACCTTGACTCTACATTGAAATAAATTGTACTTATGCCCCCAAACAAATAAATTTATCCACACAATCATCCTAAGAGAACCAATTGGTCTAATATTGTGTCATATACTTGTGTGACTCATACACATTTGGTAAACTTTGTACCCTTCTATTTGACAGTCACACCACATTCCAGCCCTTCTTATGAGGTAGTTTACAAAAGAGTGTCCTGGAAGAGCAAAATTAATAGTGAATGAGAGCTTAGCTTTTAAGATTTATTTTATCCTGGACTGAAGAAGACACATGTGGATTTTAGCATTGCCATTTTTAGTGTAAAGTTTTGTCTTCTTCAGGCATAAACTTGGCATGCTGACTTAAGTCCAGTTATGGGAGATGCTGGAGGATGAGATGCTCCTCAGCCCCTCCTGACTTAACTTGGGTCCAGCTACACGCAGATCCTGAACTAATGTCATAGTGAATAAAGTCCAAAGCGCTATTGCTTGCCCAGGTGTTGGAAACACTGTGTACTGAAAAAGTAAATTAACAATAACTTAGGCATCCCTTCTGACCTCACCATATGAGGACTATGAATGAATGAATTAAATAAGAATTTAGTTGTAATTAGAGTCTGTATTTGTGGAGCACTTTAAGTAGCCTTTTATCTAAGTCTTCATCTTGCTCAGAGTTAGCTAAACTTTATTAAACGGGTGGTTTTGCTCTACATCAAGTACCCAGTTCTTCTATTTCAACACTTCGTGTCTATTTACTTTTCCTTTTGCAAGCATTGTTCCCAACTACAGATACAACTTGTTTCAAAAAATGGCAGTTTTCTAACATTTTTTAGAAGTAGAATTAGTCTATATTCCATTAGAACATTAAAATTCATAGGGAACAGTGCTACCAGTGGGATGTATCGAAAGATTCACAGGGTACCTGCTCTAGCCTACACCTTAACAGAATCTGCCATAGGGACATGCCCCGTAGTGAATGTTACATAGTTATAAGACTTAAGATCATAACTAGTAGGTTAGAAGAAAGCATTTATTTGAGTTTGTTATTTGTAGCTCTGTGACATTTTCTCCCATGTTATTCTATTTTAATTTTCCACTACGGATTGAGGTCAAAGTACATGTATTTCTATTATCTTTCTGCTGGGGTCATCAATTTAACTTAACTAGTGTAATCTGATGCACCTTTCACTTTTGTTTGTTATACTTGGGCTCTATGTGCCTCTTTTTAGTCAGTAGTTTTTCAAATAAAGTTATTTGTGTTCTGCTTGGTTATACATGTTCCTAAGGAGCACCAGGGAAAGATGCTAAATTGACCCCATAGTTTAAGCTTAATGGTTTGTAACTTGGGGCTGGGTCGGGGGTGCAGATAATAAAGAAATATGACTCTGAAGTAGTGAGTAGCAGGTAGTTGGAAAGGAAGATAACAAAACAAGGAACTAAGAAAGAAAACTAGAGGGGTAAAGAATTAGCTGTTACCTAAGATGCCACTAAATGTGTCCCTGCTACATTAAGTACTGTGCATGGCAGCTGTTGGTACCATTTCTTGTATCCAGCAGGAAAACCTATAGTCTAGAAGCAGAATATATGAAGGGGGAATGGCTGATAATACCTATAATGAGAATGCATATTCTCCTCTGCTCTTTGTCTCTTCATATGAAAGCAAGCTTGAACAGACAGCAGTTATAGTGCACAAATTAAAGTTTAGGACTAGGTGTTTTCATACTTCATCATTGGTAAATATTAATCTAGTCTTCCCAAAATAGATATCACTGTTTAGTAACTGAATACTGAAATCTGCTGATTGACAAGTGTATTTTAGCAGCTAGAATTTCTTCAACAGCAATTCCAGAATTTAAAAAGGTAAGGGATCTGGTTTCTGATAGAGACTTTGTAAATGATTATATAGCAGTACTGTTCAGCTGTTTTTATTTGAGTGCTCAGGGAATTTGAAAGTGTTTAATGCAAGAAGTAGCTTTTTAGATTTTTTTCAGTTGATAGATAAATTAGCATTAGGATATATCAAGTAGAACAGGCCAGTTTCCTGATGAGACTGGTAGGCAAGATTGTACATAACATGACAACGGCTTCACCTTTCCTTTTCCTGTGTTATGTGTGAAAAATTGCTAACATTGCTCAATCAGAAGGGCAGAGGGGATAGGCTAAAAATAGAGATTTCTACCCCATTCTATTTTCACGCCTATGTTTTTCCTGTCATACTTAGAATTTTGCAAAATGGATCACAGATCTCAGAAGGATGGGATGAGTAGAGGAATTAATATACTTACAAGTTAGACCAAGTATTCTGTTAGAATTTATCTTGTCATAGAAAACAGGAATTGTGTAATTTAAGTCACTGTGAGAGAGTCAAGAATTTAAACTTGCATAGGAAAGTCAGCAGGTTAGGGAAGCGGGAGATTATCTACTCAGTGTTCTTAGTTCAGAAGAACTAACCCACAGAGCTTTTTATTCCTTTTTTTCTGTCCCAGGATTCTGAGTAAATTAGAGTCTGATCAGTGGTGAGTCCCTTGTGTAACTTTCCTTTAAAAGTTCTAAATGGTCACTGAAATAAGGTGATGTGTTGAACAGTAAGGACTGACACTAAAATTTGAACAGAACTGTTACTTTGTTGTAACTGTGTATGATAGATCCACTTAATTTTTTATATTTTGAGAACTACTTTAAAAAGCTATGAAAAGTTCACATAAAGCACTTAACAAACACCAGATGAAAATCAAGGTTTAATGCTTTCAGATTAATAAAGAATTAAGTAAGCTGTTTGCTTCTGATTCTGTCTTAATAAGACTATATAAGAAGACATTTGCATTTTTGAAATTTTGTTTCCATATTCCATGTGGCTAAGGAGGAACTTCGAAAATAATACTAACTAGCTATACCACTGCACTTTTTGTACACAGGCTTTCTAAAATTATGTCCCTTAAATGGTTTCTTTACATACACCTAGCTAGTAAATATTGATGGTGTTCCACGGCCATTGACTTGCACAGCCCTTGGGGCATCATTCAAATAGAACACAATTCAGAGTTTGTTCAATACTATAACACTTTGATAAATATTTCAAAAATTCAAATATTTTCTTAGCATTGGTTCACATGTTGCCATTAGACAAAATTAATGTACTGTGATCATTACTACTATTGAGATGATGTTGCCTCATTTAGTGCTTTCATTTTACAGTGTGAGAAATTCAGTTCTGATGAGTGTGTGTAAGATGTTTATGTGGTCCCTGTAAGAAATACTAGAGTTGGTCTTGATTTACTAGATGTAATATTTTATTTTCCTCTGACTTGTTAGGAATACAGTAACTTGTGTCCTGATCTGTTGCACATCGTATTTTTGCAACGTTAATGAATTTAAATAAATTAATTGTAAAGTTTGTTTTTGTCTCATTTTATCACATTTTTTCTGTCTTCCATTATGCTGCTGAATTTTTGCACTGAGTTATCTTGTCTTTCAAATAGTTTTAGATCTTTACTTTTTTTGTTTGTTTGTTTGTTTTTGAGATTTTATTTATCTTTAGATGGGAAGGAGAGGAGAGAAGGAGAGAAATATCAATGTATGGTTGCTTCTCGTGAGTCCCCTGCTGGGAACTGGCCTGTAACCCAGGCCTGTGCTGACTGGGAATCGAACCGCGATCGTGTACTTCGCAGGCCTGCGCTCAATCCACTGAGCTACACCAGCCAGGGCAGACCTTTACTCTTGATTCTCTGTCTATAATCTGGTGCTGGCTCATATTGTTCAGTGGGGGTGAAGAGTTTACCTTGTAATTTTAACATTATCTTGTTTTTGTTTTTTTCTTAAAATAAATTCCCAGATTTTATTAAAATTCTTTAAGTTTTTTTTTAAAGGATATTATGTATTTTTAGGAAGAGGGAGAAAAACATCAATGTGTGGTTGCCTCTCACATGCCCCCTGTTGGGTATCTGGCCCACACCCAGGCATATGCTGTGACTGGGAATCAAACCAGTGACCTTTTGATTGGCAGGCTGGCACTCAATCCACTGCGTCACACCAACCAGGAAGATCTTTTATAAATAACGATAAGATCTCATTAAGTTGCATCTCAAGTGGGATTCTATAATGAAAAATAATTTTTTTAATTTTACTTTTCAATTACAGTTTGCATTAAACATTATTTTGTATTATGTATTAATAGATAAATTAGCATTAGGATCTATCAGAACAAACCAGTTTCCAAATGAGAATGGTATGGTTGTATATAACGTAACAACAGTGTCATGTTATATACAACCTTAAATACTTGCTGTAATCTTACGTGTGCAGCATAGTGGTTAGATAATCATCTGTTTTACAAAGTGTTCCCCCATTAAACATTGTCTTAAGTATAATCAAGCTTTATGTTACATAATTTAGAATTATTTTAGTTAGTGGGGAACCCAATGATAAAAGCAGTTCAGTAAGTAGCTGAAAACAGAGCACAAATGGGAAGCTGTTTAGCTTTTACAAGACCTTCTCAGAAGTAACACTTGTTTTGCATCTACTCCTTAATCGCTCTTCAGTCACATAATGACAAGCAGCTGTGCACATTACCGCTGCTTTTATAATACACAGGATAGCATTGGGGATTGTGTAAACTCGAAATATGAATGTACCTTGTGTTAGGAGCAAATATTAAATCTAAATTCTCACAAATTAAAATTTTTCATGAGTCATGCACTAAAAGCTTGCTACGCGAAATGAATTGCAGCCCTACTTTGAATGGTAAATAAATACTTGCTACTCTTCAGAATTTGACTTCAACTTAGCATTGCAAGATCTTCAACATATTAACCCTCGACGCACCTCAGGCATAAAACGCGACTGTCTTGCATACCCTGATCGTGCTTCTTACGGTGGAGATTACAGTTCCCTTACGAACGACTTAATAAACCTAGTGAATTACTCGAAAATTACCAGTCCACAAGTCTAGGGCTTGAAAGCTGCGGTCCCACACCCCTCCTTTCCCCACAACCACACCACGGCAAAATGAGTCCTCAGCAGGTGCAGGTGGTGGGCGGGCTTTCTCTGCGCCCGGCTCTGACACATTTCCGGGTTCTGCGAATACTTCCGGGTCGTTGGCCAAGTTCTGTGGTTTCTGCGGCGGCCGGCGAGGTGGTTGGGGAAGTAGGCACCTCCTCCTGGTCTCCGCCGTGCTGCGTCTGTCTACTCCGCAGCGGGAAGCGTCTTCCCCACAGGTACCGGATGAGCCGTACCCGTGCTCCCTGCCCCGGCTCCCATTGCTGGGCTGCGGTCGTTTGGGTCTTTTCCGAGGGCTGCTTGGAGGGCGAGGCCCTCACCTCCCGGGGCCCGGGGTCGAGCCTTACGGACTTAAGTCCCGGAATGGCCCCGCGTCCGGTACCCGGGTAGGCAAGGGAACGGAAGGGAGGCGGTTGTGTTCTTTGTGGAAGGTTTGTTCTCTGTCGGGTGCCTGCCGAAACGTCCTCCTAGGGGGAGGGCCTGCGCTCAGCCCAGCGCCGGATTTTAGCCAGGTGATTTTCTTAAAGCATCCAGGGTTAGGAGAGGAGGATGCCGAATATTGGGGGAGCTCATTCCTTAAGTGTCTCATTCTTAGGTTGCTTCGCTTGAAGTCCTCCTTCCAACTTCATGCGAACTACGACCAAAGAATGATAAATTTCTTTGGTCATTTGACCAAAAGAAATTTGGTGCTGGATGGTTTGACCAAGGACTGGGTCTTTGAGTTTCTTCCAAACGAGGAGCCTTCCCATTAATTTTCTAAACTGCAGAATGAAACTGTACTAAATTTATGTGGCTGGAAACATCTAAAAAATTTGAACATTGCACAAGGAGTTTTTAAAAATCTAAAATTATTAAAGCAAATGATTTTCATAAACGTTTAAACAACAGCTATTTTTTTACTAATTTTTGAGATATAACGGACGTAAAATTATATTGGATTCGATATGGTACAGTATATATTGTGAAATGAACCCCACCACAGTGAAAATATTTTTTGTGATGACTTAAGAACGACTCTTAGAAACTTTCAAATACGCAATACAGTGTTAACAACTACAATCATTATGCTACACATCAGTGATTTTTAACTGGGGTGCCACAAGAACTTTTAAAGTATGCAGCTCTGGCTGGTGTGGCTCAGTGGATTGAGAGCTGGCCTGTGAACCAAAAGGTGGCAGGTTTGATTTTTGGGCCCTGGCAAATGCCTGGGTTGGGGGCCAGGTCCCCAGTTGGGGGCGTGTGAGAGGCAGCTGATCAATGTCTCTCTCACACATATTTCTCTCCTTTTTCCTTCCCTTCCCCCCTCTCTAAAAATAAATAAAATCTTTAAAAACAAAACAGAAACAGGCAGTGCCTGACTATTTAGGCAGGGACACTGACCTCTTTTCCCTTAGATTGTCAGATAAAAAGATAACAGTAGCTCTCCCCTGTGAATGAATCAAAAGTATACCTACCTTTTTGTTCGATGAGCAAGAAACATATATTTTTGGTGTACTGCAGAATTTTAATTGTTTGTGTGCCATGACATGAAAAAGGTTGAAAATCACTGTACATGTTATATCCTCAGGACCTATTTTATAAGTAGAAGTTTGTACCTTTTGACACCACCCCTTGTCCCCCTACCCAACCATCAGTTTTCTGTATGTGTGCACTCAGCTTGCTTTGTTTTTTAGATTCCACATGTAAGTAATATCATATAGTATTAGTCTCTGACTTATTTCACTTAGCGTAATGCCCTCAAGGTCCATCCACGTTGTCACAAATGGCAAGGATTTATTCTTATTTTATGGCAGCATAGTAAGTATTCCATTGTGTATACCGCTAGGCCTCAGATAACATCGTTTGGTTATAATGTTGATGAGAAAAAATGGTTCTGAGCTAGGGTCACTATGTATGGTTTACATGTTCTTCCCATGTCTGCATGGGTTTCCCCAAGTGCCCTGGTTTCCTCTCACACGCCAGAGATGTGCACGTGAGGTGAATTGTTGTGTCTGCATTGTCCTGTCAGAGTGTGAGTGCGTGTGAGTGCCCCCTGCAACAGACCCGAGGCCTGTCCAGGGTTGGTTCCTACCTCCCACCCCAAGCTTCTGGGGGAGGCTTTATCCACCCATGACTAAACAGGAGTGCGAAGGTTATAAAATAATGACCTTACTTGTTTTTAGTACTCTTTCTTAAATGTCTGTAGCTCACATTTATTTCAGTATATTAATTTTAGAAGTGTTTTAGGTCTTTATTTAGAAGTATGGTGATGTTTTTATAACTAGAAATATGCCATAATGTCTTTTTATGCCAATACCATACCATTTTGATTATTATAGATTTATAATATAGATCAGGAAGCTTGATGCCTCCAGCTCTTTCTTAAGATTGCTTTTATAATTTTCTTTCAATTACAGTTGATACACAGTAGTATATTAGTTTCAGCTCTACAACAGAGCAGTTAGACGTTTTTGTAACTTACCAAACCAGTCACCTCAATAAGTCTAGTGCCCATATGACACCATATGTAGATGTCACAATCTCATTTACTATATTCCTGATGCTATGCTTTACACCTCCCTGTTTTTGTGACTGGCAATGTGAACATCTTAATCTTTTCACTTTTTTCACCCAGTCCTCTAGCCTGCCTCCCATCTGACAACAGTGTTTTCTGTATGAGTCTGTTTCTGTTTTGTTTGTTCATTTATTATGTCTATTAGATTTCACATATAAGTGAAAGCATATGCTATGTTTTTCTCTGATTTATTTCACTTAGCTTAATACCTATAGGTCCATCCATGTTGTCGTAAGTGGCAAGATTTTATTCTATTTTATGGCTGAATAATATTCCATTGTATGTATGTGCCACATTTTCTTTACCCATTTACGTATCAGTGAACACTTAGGTTGTTTCCATATCTTGGCTATTATAAATAATGCTGAAGTGAACATAGAGTGCATAAATCTTTTTAAATTGGTGTTTTGGATTTCTTTAAATAAGTACCCAGAAGTGGAATTGCTGGGTCATATGATATTTCTATTTAATTTTTTGAGGAACCTCCATACTGTTTTTCATAGTGGCTATACCGATTTACTAGGGTCGAGAATTTACAAGTACATGAGAATTCCCTTTTCTCCACATCCTTGCCAACACTTGTTTGTTGATTTATTGATGATAGCCATTCTGACAGGTGCAAGATGATATCTCATTGTGGTTTTAGTTTGTATTTCTGTGATGATCCGTAATGTTGTCCATCTCGCCTGTCCTCTTTGGAGAAACGTCTGTTCAGGTCCTCTGCCCATTTTTTTAAATTGGATTGTTTGGTTTTAGGGTGTTGAGTTGCACAAGTTTCTTATATTTAGGGGATATTAATTAACCCCTTTTTTGATATATCATTGGCAAGTATTTTCTCCCCTTCAGTGGTTGTCTTTTCATTTTGTAGATGGTTTCCTTTGCTGTGCAAAAAATCTTTGGGTTGATGTAGTTCCATTAGTTTATTCTTTTGTTTCTCTCGACAATGAGACATATCCAAAATAAATACTATTAAGAGTGATGTCAAAGTCTTTACTGCCTATGTTTTCTTCTATGAGTTTTATGTTTTCAGGTCTTACATTTAAGTCTTTAATTCACTGTGATTTCATTCTTCTGGTATGTGGTATGATAGTGATCCATTTTTATTCTTCTGCATGTATCTATTTAGTTTTCCCAACATCATTTATTGAAGAGCTTGTCTTTACACCATTGCATTGGGTTGGCCAAAAAGTCCACGTGGTTATTTCCATAAAATAAAAAACACATTTTTCATTTTCACCAGTAACTTTATTGATTTGGATATTTTGAGTATGTCAGCTCTCTCCCAAGTAGTATAACGTTGATTGTTCTCAGTTAATGTCTTGATCTGATCATCATCCACTTCAGCTGGTCTGTCAGACCCTGGAGCATCGTCCAGCGAGAAACGTCCAGCATGAAACTTCACAGACCACTTTTGGCACATGCGATCAGTCACAGCGCCTCCTCCATACGCTATACAAAGCCTGTGTGTGTGTGTGTGTGTGTGTGTGTGTGTGCGCGCGCGCGCTCTTCAGTTGTATTTTTGCATTTCTTGAAATAATAAAGAATACTATGCCAAAAATGTTGCATATTATCTTCCATCTTCAATATTCATATGGCTACATGAAATTTCACCAATTTTGATAATTTTTTTAATGCACACTGCTATGACAACTGTAACAGTGCAGTCTAACAAAATTGTTCCCAATGAAGTTAAAGACAACCGAGTGCTACTAGAGCCATCTTACAGAAAAAAACAAATGAACTTTTTGGCCAACTCAGTTATTTTCTTACTTGTCATAGATTAACTGGCCATATAGCTGTGGGTTTATTACTGAGCTCTCTGTTCCATTTTATTGGTCTGTGGTAGCGATTTTCGACCTTTTTCATCTCATGGCACAGATAACTAAAATTGTGCAGCACACCAAAAAATGGGTGTAATTTTTATTCATTCACACCAGACGGCTATTGTTGTGTTGGCTCTTGTCATTTTTTTATTTGACAATCTAAGGGAAAAGACTGCCCCTAACTAACTAGTCAGCTATTGCATGTAGCACCCTGGTTGAAAGTCGCTGTTCTAGATGCCTAGTTTACTTCAGTGAACAAAATTGACAAAGGTCCCTGCCCTGGGGGAATTTATATTCTTTCGGAGGATACACAAACGTAAGTAAATTACATATATTTGAAGGGGATGGTGCCATCAAAAAACATAACAGGAATGGGGGACTGGGAAGTTCCAGAGTGGGGGTGGGAGTTGTTTTGTAAATATGACAGTGGAGGCCTCCCTAAATACATGCTATGCTTGAAGGAATTACGAGCGACATCTAGGGGACCGGTGCTCCAGGTAGAACAGCCTCTACAAAGGCTGGAACATGTCCGTCACGGTCTAAGTGCAAGGAAGCCAGTGGATCTGGAGAAGGGCAAGAACAAGGAGAAATAATAGGTAGCCAGATTATCATAAGGACTAGTGAAATGGAAGCCATCGGAGGTTTTGAGCAGAGAGGATGTATGATCTAACCTGTGTTTTTAAAAAATCAGCCCTGACCAGTGTAGGTCAGTTGGTTGGGTGTTGTCCCACAAAGCAAAGGGTCACCGGTTCAATTCTCAGTCGCCCTGACTGAGTGCCCTACTTGAGAGAGGCAACTGATCAATGTTTCCCATTCTTTCTCCTCCCTTCCCTCCATCTAAGAATAAATAAAATCTTTTTTTAAAAACTGACCTATGTCTTGCCCTGGCTAGTATGGCTCAGTGGATTGAATGCCAGCCTGCAAACCAAAAGGTCACCCATTCCATTCCCAGTCAGGGCACGTGCCTCGGGTGTGGGCCAGGTCCCCAGTAGGGGACCATGAGAGGCAACCACACATTGATGTTTCTCTACCTCTCTCCCTCCCATCCACTCTCTAAAATAAATAAATAAAATCTTTTAAAAATATATATCACCTGGCTGCTGAGTCTGGGATTCAAGTGTAGGGGCAAGTCTGGAAGCAGGGGAACTAGTTAGGAAGCTATTTCAGTAATCCAAATGACAGCTAATAATGGCCCTGATCAGTGTGACTCAGTCGGTTGGGCGTCGTGCCACTAAGTGGAAGGTCCCCGGTTCAATTCCCAGTCAGGGCACAAGTCTGGATATTGGGCCAGGGCCCTGGTTGGGGCATGTGTGAGAGACAACCAATCAATGTTTCGCTCTTTCTCCCTCCCCTCCCCTCTCTCTGTAGTTGATAAGGGCACAGGCCAGGGTGGTAACAGTGGAAACTGTGAGGAATGTTTGGATTCTGGGTGCATTTTGAAGATAGAGTTTACAGGATTGGCTAGGGAGTGGGTGTGCGGGTAAGTTTGGGGAAGGAGGATAAAGTACTTGAGAGGTTTTTGCCTGAACCCATAAAAGTACAGAGTTCTGGCACCTGAGATGGGGAAGACAAGGAGAGGTGTTGAGTAGGCGGTCGGATCCAGGAGTGAGTTCATGGGAGAGGTGTGTGCTGGTACGTGAATTTGGGGGTAATCAGCAGTAGAACTTAAAGCCATGAGACTGACTGTTATCACTAAGGAATGAGCATAGCCAGCAGCAGATAACCAAGGATGGTGTCTTCTAACATTGAGTTCAAGGAGAAGAGAATCAACCAACAAACAGTATTCAGAAGGATGAACCAGTGAGCTTAAGAGAACGAACAACCCAAAAAGTGTGGTGTCCCAGATGCCAGGCCAAGATCCTTTATCAAAGAAGGGAATACTGTCTGTGTCAGATGCGTAAGTCTGGTGAAGACCCAGTTGGGGATCGGCTTTGGCAATGCCATTGGTGTCCCTCTTCTCTTTCATTCGAGTCTGGGGGCAAAAGCCTATGAGGGGTGAATTTAAGAGCAAATGGAAGAAAAGGAATGAGAGAGAGAGTACAGACGACTCTTACAAGTTTTGCTGTAAAGAGGAACAAAGAAATAAGATTATGGGGCTGGTAAGGGTATTCATCTGGTTCTGGCTATATTGAGAAGGAAATGCTGGAAGGATTGGCTGACAGATTAGATGCAGAGTGAGAAGTTAAGATTTTGGAGCTGTCTTACTGGAGGACTAGATGTACTGTTTACTGAGGTGGTCACACTGAGGGCAGAAGGGGTTTGGAGAGGTAGAATCAGGAATTTGGTTTTGACAGATTTAATTAAAGCCACCAACTTGATAATTTTATCCAGCATCACATAGGCAATTTTATTGTATGTGGCAACAAGGGAAAAGTCCGGACTGGAAATAAATTTGAGAGTCATCAGCAGACAGACAGTATATAAAGCCATAAGCCTGGTTTAGGTAACTAAGGGAGTAAAGCATCTAGAAAAGACAGAATAAGCCTTAAAATAGGCAGAAGTTAGGTTGCCGAGGAGGACCCAGCAGAAGAAAACAAAAAGACACGGTAGTGGTGTCCGGTGAAGTGGGAGGAGAGAACTGACTATGAAGTCCAAAAAAACAAAAGGCTTCAAGAAGGTAGAAATGGTCTAGTGTGTCAAATGTTCATAAGGTGTGTAATGTGAAGGCTGATAACAGACTCTCTTTGCTGAGGTTCACCTGATGTAACTCCTCGATTCTATCTCCTGTCCATTTCTTAACTGAAAATGCCAAGAGGTCAGGGATCTTCTACCTGACATGCCGTGGAACCTCAGTAAATATTTGTTGAATCTGTACTACTGCCATTCTCTTGGAGTCCTCTTCTCTTCCGAATCTTGCACTCAAGTATGTTTTTCACATGGCTGCCAGTTTGTCTGAGCTTTCCTGCCTAGAATGCTCTCATTACATGCACCGTAAAACCCTGCAGCTCTCCTGACGGAACAGATCCGTCCACGCCATCGCTTTTGAACCCGTCTTCTACCACTCCCTGCTCATACCTGTACCCTAATAATACAGAGCAGCTTACATAGTTCTCTTCACAAACTATTATTCTGTCCTTCTGTGGCTTTAATCATTCTATTCTTATCCTGGATGGCTTTCCCCCTTTGCTTGGCTAAAGACTAGCTTGATTCTTCAAGCTTTTGTGAACCAGCTCGTTCAGTCCCTGGTCATCCTCCACAGTACACTGTTATCTCTATCACAGTTCTTAATGTTTTCAGTTTAACTTTTGTATATGTCTGTTACCCTGCCGAGGGTATAATTTTTTAGATTCAGGAGTGTACATTTGTCTTCCTTTCACCACCACCTCTCACAGTCCTGTATCTCCTTTGTAAGTGCTCTTTAAATAACAGATTTAAGAGAACAGGAAACTGAAGGGGAAGGCGTGCAGGTTGTAGCAGAAGGTCATCGGAACCCACAACTTGACAGTAAGTAGACAGGAGTGGCACGTGGTGAGTTCTAGGCTGTCAAAAGGTGGACTTCTGAAAGAAATGGTACAGATGTACATTTTAGTAATTGTAATATTCATTCTTCATATTAAAGAGCATAAATATCTATGTCAAAGAATACATTGTTTAAAAAATCATTTTAACTACCTAGTAATTGTAAAATTATTACTACAGTAATTTGCAATCACTAATAGTTCTGATAGTATATATTAGAATATATAGACTGTTTACATACATGATTTATAATGTTTTCTTTTTAATACTTTTTATATTAAATTTCTAGGATATCAATGCAAGACTGAATAAGGAAAACAGTTTCTCCCTCTAAGCCATGGCATATCAGTTGTACAGAAACACCACTTTGGGAAACAGTCTTCAGGAAAGCCTCGATGAGCTCATACAGGTAACGGACTAGAAAATCAACATTTTAATTTAAAGGGGTCTGTAATCTTGTAATATCCCTTATTTTAGACAAAGAGGTTAAATGACTATTTTAGACCTAGAGGCCTAGACTCTTTCACCCAGTAAATCAGTATTGAGGCTAATAACATCCGATTCCTGTGCGTCTGTGCCATCCTCACAAGGGGGCATAAAATGGAATGAGTGAAATTGGTGGTCCATCTGAATTTTCAAAAATTTTTGTTAAAGAGTAGAGTGTTGGTTTGCTCCTCGTGTGTGTAAGAAAGACCTATTTTTTTTTCTTTCTTTTAATCATCCAAGGATGTGCCCAATGATTAAAAGAAAGGTGGAGGAGGGGGAGAGAGAGAGAAAGTAACATCAATTGGCTGCCTCCCACATGCACCCAACCAGGGATCAAACTGCAACCCAGGCCTGGCCCTGAACCCACACCACAGCCTCTTGGTGTGGGGGGTGGCACTCCAACCAGCAGGGCTGTCCAGCCAGGGCTCTGTGTAGCTTTAAGGTAAATCTGAACAATTTAATGGTCTTTTGAGATTTAAATTACAATTTTGAATTCATATGTCAACTTTATGAGAATTTTTATAGGAACCTCTCATCTAAGAACATTATTTCCACTTACTTTTATATATTTAGTGAGCGTCAATAAGATTTATTAGGTTTTTAAAAAATATATTATTGGTTCTCCCTGACCACTGTGGATCTGTGAGTTGGGCATCGTCCTACAAAGTGATTCCCAGTCAGGGAGTGACACATGCCTAGGTTGCAGGTTCAGTCCCCAGTTGGGGCACATATGAGTATATATTATTGGTCCTGTGTTTTTTTATTTAAAAGAAACTTGGATTCTTTGATTTAACGAGTGCCTCATTCCAGATGCTACAAAAGAATAATAGTCCAAGTTTCGTCAAGGCATTGTAACATCACTGCATGTTTTCTTTTCAAAATTAGGTTGTATCAAGATAATGGAAGCAGAGTCATGCTTTGCTTCTTAATTGTCGTTTATGGCAAAGGAAAATAAGGGATGCTAGTTTAGAGGCTCTGGTTTGCCTTTTTTATAATTCATGTTTTTATTTTGTCTTTAATACTGTTCTGATTTAATACCTGCACTTTTCCTTAGTCTCAACAGATCACCCCCCAACTTGCCCTTCAAGTTCTTCTTCAGTTTGATAAGGCTATAAATTCAGCACTGGCTCAGAGGGTCAGAAACAGAGTCAATTTCAGGGTAAGTGGGTCTTGCTCCATCGAGAAGCCTGCTCCAGTAGTTGTTACAACAGTGTTTTCCAGGCCCTTACGTGTTTATTAGTCATGAAAGGAAGAAATGGCTCAGTCAGATTTTGGAACATGTTTTATATATAATAATGAAATCATACTTTTACTAAGTACCTTGATACTAAGTTTATCCACTTAATGTGACATACAGAGTTTTAGGTTTTTATATTCCATTGTTTCACAAATCAGTCTATGTATGTTTGGCTATCTTCCCTGAGATTTCAAACACCTGAAATATTACCTGCAGGTTTTAAGGTGACAGTAATCCATCAGGTTATGGTTTTCAAACTGCTGCTCATTGTCTTTAGTGAGACAATGCTGGTTACACAGGACAATAATAGTGTAGCCTTAGCAGCTAATACAGTAATCCACCTGAGCTAAGTTACAGGATTAAAATTAATGTCTCAGGAGATGCCTGCTTTGTACCATTGCAGAGAATTAATGTACACAACAGTACATTTTCTTTTAAACAGTGTTTACATAAAAATTCAAATAAACTTTCATAATTTCACCACATGGGGGCAGTAAAAAATGCAAATTCAAGTTTCAGTTAGGCTTTCCTCAGATTTCAGGTAAGCAATTTTTGACTCTTGCAGTGCTAAAAATAGTCTGCTAACTAAAAACTTTTAGCTCTTCCCCTAGCATATTTATCTAGGGATTCTTTAATTGTTAGGATGAAAACTAAGGAAAATCTTAAGGTAAATAAATAATCCTATTTTAAGCATTCTGTACTTGGTGGCTGAGTCTCAAACTGCTTTGGAGAAAAATGTGAGGGAAAATGACTTTTCATATTATGTCTAAATATTTTGTTTTAAAGGGCTCTCTAAATACATACAGATTCTGCGATAACGTGTGGACTTTCGTATTGAATGACGTTGAATTCAGAGAGGTGACAGAACTTATTAAAGTGGATAAAGTGAAAATTGTAGCCTGTGATGGTAAAAGTAAGTGTTCCCCTGATTACTGTGAAAGCAGAGTTACTGCAGTCTTGTTTTATGAGTCTGTAGAAAACCTTCATCTGAAATGAAGGTGGAGAACGAACGGTCAGTGATCCGCTCCCAGAGGGACACCTGGCTCCTGCCTCAGCTGGAGCCTGACCAGATCGGGCGCAGCCAGGGCGGTGCGGCCGCGGACTCAGCCGGGTTCTGAGTTCCAGATCTCAACAGGCCTGTGTGGCACGCAGACTGCTTTGGGGTTGAAGTTGTGTGGGGGCGGGGGGTGGGTTTTAGCTGCAGATTTGAAGTGTTTCCAGGCTTTTTCACAGCCTCCTTTTTCTTTAAGGAAATGTCTGGTTTTGACAATTTATCCTCTGGTTTCTGTGTTGCTGAGTACCTACACATTTTATATTAAAAAGTCATAATAGTGGATATCCATTCCTCTAATCCATGGTAGCCTCTCTGCAGGTATATTTTCCACAGCAGACCAAGGAACTTGTTCAGGTCCTTAAATGTTTCAGAACCATACATCTTTGCTTTCTGTTCCATGATTATTTCCTTTTTGCTAATTCTGTTTTGAACGTATACTTAACTTTTCATTTGTACTCTGACCCATTTGTGCTTAAAGCAGCTGTTCCTGAAATTAAATAGGGAAGACTATCGCTGTCCTGGGAGGGGAACAAGAGGGGAGTTTTGAAAAGCAAGGGAAAGAGAAACATAGAAAGTAATGCCCTCCATTTCCCAGGTTACGGGTTCGGGGTTTTCTGTATACTTCGGGTTTGGAAAGAAGTAATCACTGAAAAAAATGTAGAGACAACAAAAGCACACAGAAGAAAACATTTGTAACAACATCTGGAGATAACATATCACTCTTAATGTTTATTGTATAACCTAGTCGTATTTTTTACAGTGATACATGTAAAAAAATTGCAAGTACATCATTATCAAACATGTCATTAACTCTTCTCTTAAACCTGTTTTTTAATGGCATAAAATTATACCTTCAGCCCTTTTTAAGAAATAGTCTCTTTCAGATGTCAGAAAGCCTCTGAAACCAACAATGTTACAATGACTTAGACCTTTCAAAAGGTTAACTGATACTTCTAAGAACTTTAAAAGCATATGACTTTTTAACATAGTCACCAAATACGTTTGATTTTGGGGGGGAGGGGCGAGGATAGGGGGTCATTATGACAAAGAACAAAATTACTTTATACTTACTGGGTCACAAGGTAACATGTCTGTATTTCAGATAATGGGTACTTTTGTTCACATTTTTTTATAATGTAGGCCAATAGCATCTTTATAACCTTTAGGTTTTTAAGTTTTTATTAGATTGGGCATTAATTTCTAGGTATTAATTTCTGGGCATTAACTCCTAGACCTGTCAAAGTGAATTAATGATATAGCCCAGTACTGTTCAGTAAAACTTTTGTACTGACGGAAATGTTTGTCATCTGCAATTTCTAGTAGCCACGTAAGGCTATTAAGCGTTTGAAGTGTGTTAGGGCAACCAAGAAATTTAATGTTTTAATTTTTATTGAATTTTATGAGTTATCTTGAATTAATTTGAATAGCTGCCCTGTGGCTACAATATTGTACAGCACAGATAAACTAGAGGGTTATTTTGAACCATTGGAAACATAGCTAAGAACCAGAAAGTCAGCAAAGAAGGCTGCTGAGTAAACTTAATGTCTGGGGTCCAGACATGTGGTTTACTTATAGGAGCTCCTTTCTGTGGTCTTAGAGATACAGGTTATCTGTTTTTTCACACTCTCATGGATAAAAAGTAGCAGAACAGCCTTACCTGTTGCTGGGCTTCTGGGAGCCTGCCCTACTTACAACACAGTGTAGTGATCTTCAAAGAAACAATTGTTGAGTATTCCAGAGAAGCTTAGATTGTGTACTGTGCATTCTATGTCAGCAGAAAAGAATACAGTCTTACAAATTTCTTCCAAATTTAAAACATAAGTGGTTAAGTAATTAAGAAAATACCAAAACCATTCCTCAGTAATCAGATACATGTGGTGCTACTGTGAAATAAGCGCATTTTCCCTAAAAGTCAGCTTTCTAAAATAAAGTCCTGATAGAGTAGCAGAGGAAAAGTGATAGTGGCTAGAATTTTGATCTGTTTTTCACCAGGAATTAAGTGCAATTCTCTTCTGATTATATGTTATGGCCTTTGTAGTTTAAAATTTGGGGACAGTAGAGAATCTGAAAAAAAAAATAAGGTTGTTAGCAATCATGTAAGCCAAGTGTAGCATAACTTGATTTTTCTCCAGCACAATATGGAGAACTAGGCCTTGTGTTTCTACCTCTGCCTTAAAAGGAAAGTCCGCAAGGTGTTTCCCTGGTCAGCCTCCCTCTTCTTCCCCACCCCTCAAACCACCGCCACCATTAGATCCTATTTTAAGATATTACTAAAATTAATTTAAAATTAAATTTCTCCTTGAATTTACTCTTTTTCTCCCTGTTTCCTAGATACCGGCTCCAATACTACAGAATGAATAGCACAATGGCTTTTTGTATGTCGTCTTCTGTTACTGTTCATCACTTTTTAAAGAGAAGCCTAGAAGAGACTTTTTATTTATTCTAGCATTACAGAAATGACTACACTGTGCTGTACTATCAGAGAATCCAGTAGAAAGGTTATAACTCTGTAGCCTCTTACATCACCTTGATTATACAACATGAAGAAACAGAACTTTTTTTTAATGACAAATCAAACATCGTTGCCTTCCTAATAGCATTCTTTAATAAACTTGTTTTAAAACTCAATGTGGCCCTGGCTGGTGTAGCTCATGGATTGAGTGTGGGCCTGTGAACCAAAAGATCATGGTTCGATCCCCAGTCAGGGCACATGCCTGGGTTGCAGGCCAGCTCCCAGCAGGGGACGCACAATAGGCAACCATACACTGATACTTCTCTCCCTCTCTCCTTCCCGTTCTCTCTGAAGATAAATAAATCTTTAAAAAAAAAACTCATTGTGGGTAATAACTGGTAGAGCTATTAAGCTAGCAATATGAAAATAAATAATTATTTTGAAAGAGCATCATGTTTCTTGTGAAGGAAATTAGAAAATGCATCCATTTCAATAAAGTCAGGTTAGTTTTATTAATTGTAACAGATTATAAAAGCATCAACAAGAGCAAAACCAAATTCTGGATTGTAGATTTACTTAAAGAATCCCTTTTTTAAAACTACAACACCGCCCTGACTGGTGTGGCTCAGTGGATTGAGCACCTGCCCATGAACCAAAGGGTCGCTGGTTTGATTTCCAGCCAGGGCACTTACCTGGGCTGGGGGCCAGGTCCCTAGTTGGGGGCCTGCGAGAGGCAGCCAATCGATGTTTCTCTTTCTCCCTCCTTCTTGCTCTAAAAAATATATATATCTTTAAAAAAAATAAAAGTACAAAACCAGGTAACCATCAGTGTAAAAAACATAGTACAACTGAATTAGGAAAAGACAATCTTTAGATAGCTTCCATAGCAAAAACAAAATGATAAAAACTACTTCTAAACATAAAATACTCCCCACTGATCATTTAAATTATATCCAGAACTGGCCATTATTGACGAAGTTTTATACGTTTTTAAGTGATCTACATTTTGCCGGTTACCAGACTTTTAATAAAAAGTCTTACTGTAAAGCCATATCTTGTGTACTTGGGAGAAGCTGCCTTTGTTAGTCAATCTCAGTATATAATGAAGAATGTGGCATTTCTGAAATACCGGAGGGAGAATACCAGGCACAAGGTAGCTGAGCCACTGGGGTTTGGCAGGTGAGTTGAGACCAACTATGTCTAACAAGGACCTGGCCCTGTTCACCACTTAGAGGAGGTTCCTGACTGCCCCTTCCTGTTGTGAGACCCGGTTCGCCTGGCCGGCCCTGCGCTGAGGCTGCCGCAGACACGGGAGAAGGCGCTTTCTTTCCTCCTGCTGAGCGGTAACTGAGTTGGCCGCAATCTCCAGCAAAATAGCCTTTCGTAAACCTATTAAAACGTTAGTTTTTTATGTTAGGTATAGTTCCCCTTTTTCAGTTGTAGAAGCATGGTACGTAGTAGGTGTTATTTTTAAACAACCTGCTCAGATACGATCCGTTCCGCAGCACCGAAGTGAGACTAAGGTAACAGCCAACATGGCTGTATTTGGGGGAGACGAAGGCTGTACGTCTTCCACGCCTTCTCCCGGATAACCCTCGCCACCACCCCGGAGGGACTTCGTAGGATTCAGTGATTGAAAGTTTGCCTGAACTACAATGGTTACCTAATTAGGATTCTCTTCATTGCAATTAGTCAAAAATCAAGGTCTTTACTTTGGAAGTTTATCATCACGGTTAGGGGACAGGTAGGTTGATACTGAATTTACAGTGGTTGTAGAAGTTTTTCCTGAGGAATAAGTTGAATTTAAACTTTCCCTGTTAGCAGTCCCTGAGATCATACGCAGGGCTGGTGTGGTATACGCGTTTGGGAATTTAAGATTCTGTACACGATCTTTTAACTGGGGAGGAAACACGCTGACCCTGGGTGAGGAATTTCTTGTTGCCTGGCTTGACCCAAGTCAGATCTGAGTTTCTCCTTTGTCTTTGGCTCTGCAGCCCCCTACATTTTTCATGCCTTCCCCTTTCGGAATCAGAATCCCACCCCTGGTTCCGAACTTAAGCCCAGTTTTGAAGTTTTGAATCTTCTTCCTGCTGACCTCATACAAAGGAACTATCTACACGCAAAAGCTCAACGAAGGGCAGAAGAACTTGGCTTGCGTCCAGTACTCACTCAGGTACACTTGCAGAAACCTGGTACGCAACAAACTGCTGGGGTTTACCCTGCATTCCACCAGGGCACACCCATGCTCAGACCTGGGCTGGCAGCCGTCCCCACCTGCTTTTGGCTGGGGGGCAACACAGAAGTCGTGGCCAGACATTTACTCCTGTCAGCTCTGATGACTCGTAAAGACACCCCACGGCTGACACCTGTGTCATGGCGTGGCTATTGTAAGCCTCCCACGGTGGCACTCACGTGGCACTGAGAACGCACTAGAGTTACAGAGGAGAGACGGCAGGAGCTCACACCAGGTTGTGCTCTCCCGCCTACCGCAGGCTCTGCCCCAGGGATGAGAAGCTTACCTGACCGTGAGTGTAAAGGAGAAAACCATGCTTTGTGTACTGTCAGGACTAAAGTAAAAGCTGGGCTTTTGTAATGAAGAGTCAGTCCTTCCCACACACATTACTAAATGCTATTTTAATACCCAAGTAATGGGCAGAAATAGCCTTTTTGGGTTTAATATCAGGCTGGATGTTGTGAGGCGTGTTTACTGTGAGCTACCTTCGGCTTTGTTTCTTGGCAGACATAAGTCACAGTGTCATAAAGTGTGTTGCCATCACTTACAAGTAAGTCAACTGCTACCAATAGTAAAATTTTGAGGTTTAAAAACTATATTTAAATCTACACATTTCCACTGGGGAAGCAATTTGTAGCACAGTTATGAAATTTGGACTTAATAAGATGCGTGGTAAGTGAAAGTGCAAACAGAGAAGATTTGCAGCCTTTGCTTCTTGGATCCATTCTAAAGCCGCTCTAATTTGGTGGGCATTCACCCAGCTGATTTTTACATGCCGTAGTAATCTTTTCTCTTCCTAGTGCCAAGGTAGGCAGGCTTTGCATGCATTGCGGAGCAAGGCATTTCACCTGATATGACTTGGTACAGGAACTTGGCAACATGCAGCAGGGTAGAAAGAGTGTTTTGCAGAAAGACTATCAACAGTATTCTCTTTTGAATGTCCTCTTATTCCAATTATGTACTTCCTGAAGTTCTGTTACAAGTGAAACTGGCTTCAGAACTGGTTCTTTTGGCCCTGGGCAGAGAACTGAGGGTTTTTTCCATTTCTGGAGGTGTGCGGACAGCCCTGACCCTTTAACTGAACTCAGGACTGAAACATGCTCTGTGCTCAGCCCCAAGGTGAACCACAAAAGACTGCAGGTAGCCAAGGCACTCAGAAAACAAGGAACAAAGCAGAGGCATCATGTTTCCTAATTTCGAACTATGTAAAAAGCTATAGTAACTGAAACATTACTGTACTGACATAAAAATAGACACATAGATTAATGGACCAGAACAGAGCCCCCACACACATGGTCCATTTATGACAAATTTACAATACAGAAGCCAAGGGTATGTAATGGGGGAAGGATAGTCTTTAAAAAACGGTGTTGGGAAGACTGGACACCCTGTTGCTGAGTGACACCGGACCACTGCTTTACACCACACAAAATTAACTCGGCTTGGATTAAAGGCTCGAACACGGGCCCGAACCGTGAAACTCCTGAAGAAAGCGGGGTAGGCTGCCCCGCATCGGATTTAGCAATGGTTTGTTTTTTAATTTGACCACAAAAGCAAAACCAAACAAGTGAGACTACGTCAAACTGAAAAGCCGCACAGCAGAGAAAGCCAACAAAATGAAAAGGCAGCCCAGGGAATGGGAGGGGGTATTCGCGAGTCACCTGAAAAGAGGTCAATAATACGGAATGTAAAGGACCCTTACATAGCATATGTGTATGTCCCGCTCAACAGTAAAAACAAAAATATGGACAGAGGGTCTGAACTGACACTTCTCCAAAGATGACATAAATAGCCAGGTTACAATGGCTGTTACCAAAAGAAGTCAGTGTTGGCGAGGGTGTTGGGAGAAGTGAAGCCTTGTACACTGTTGGTGGGAAGATAAATGAGCACCGCCACTATGGGAAAATGTTCCTCAAAATTAAAAAAGCCTAGCATAGAATCCAGCAATTGCATTTCTGGAATATACCCCAAAGAGACAAAGAAACCTGTGTTCAGCCATATTCCTAGCAGTTATTCACTACAGGCGAAAGCAGCCCGGTGCCCCTCCTGATGTGATACAATATAAGATACAAAATACTAACTATTGACAAAAACTCAAACCGGAGTCTGGTCAAGCTTCTAAATCTAAGTAACAGTTTACAAGAAATACCAGGGACAGAGGACTAACTCAGATGGCGAGGAAAGAGACCTCACTTAACAAATAAATTGCCAGAACAAAAATGGCGGAGGCTCTAGAATCAAAAGAACTTGGGCGGGCCATCAACCCAGGAGGTCCTGATTCAGATACCAAATCATTAAACAGTTGTGACAGGACACAGGGAGGGGAATGAAAAACTGCTTTGTCATATGACTAAGGAATTACTGGTATTATTTTAGGTATGAGTCAGTTGTGTTTAAAAAAAAGTCATTACCTCTCTTAATTGAAAGAGACCACAGAATTAATGCAATAATATGACGTTTGGGATTTACTTCAAAATAGCCTGGTTGGTCTGGAAAGTCATTGAGAGTAGAGCTAAAACAAGACTGGGCAGCACCTGGCACCTGAAGCTGGGTGCTGGGTACACAGTTTCATTCTCTCTGCCTTTGGCTGACTGAAGATTTGTATATCGAAGGTTTCTTTTAGAGATATCTTCTAAAGTCCTGGCTGGGTGGCTCAGTTGGTTAGAGCATTCTCCTGATACCCCAAGGTTGTGGGTTCGATCCTCACTCAGGCACATACAAGACGCAATCGGTGACTGCGTAAAAAGTAGAACAAAATTAATGTGTGTTTCTCTCTCTCTCCCTCTCCCTTCCTCTCTAAAATCAATAAGTAAAATTTGCCTAAACATAGATATCTTATACAGACCCTCATTGCTTACAGATAAAACTCGAACTCCTTGACTGCATCAAAACACCAGGTTTTCTGCCCTCTGGTCATCTTCCAGGCTCCTCCTCACCCGCCAGCCGCACGAGGAGCCGCCTTCCGTCCCCTGCGCACCCCTGCGCTTTCATGCATTTGGAAATCCCACTGCCTGTCTGAAAAACCCTCTCACAGTGTTATTTAATGGCCCTTTCCATTTTTACTACAACTGTGTGATCTCCCCAAATAAGTTATGTGCTCTGCTCCCAAACAGGATTATCAGCTCTCTTTTCTTTCTTGCTTAAAAAAAACTTTACTCAGTCAAGAGAACAAAGATTATAATAGGCAGAGAGTACATCAAAATATGGTTATTAAAACAATGCTTACCAATAGCCCACAAAGCAAAGCTAAAGAAGGAATTCAAACCCTGACAGGTAATATGAGAATAGTTGCTCAATGCATTTACACAATTTTTCCTTTCCAGACAAAAGTTAAAGAAACAAACGTGCCTCAGGGCTGATTTAATATGTTGGTTTAATCATATGATTTCTAAAGTAAACTACACAATGAGGCAGAAACTACACCCTTCTTTGTGTGTGTGTGTGTGTGTGTGTGTGTTTAAGAGAGACAGGGGAAGAGAGGGAGGAAGAGGGGGGGAGAAACATCAACGTATGGTTGCCCCTTGCTCGCCCCCTACTGGGGACCTGACCCACAACCCAGGCATGTGCCCTGACTGGGAATCAAACCAGTAACACTTTGGTTTGCAGGCTGGCACTCAGTCCACTGAGCCACACCAGCCGGGGGCAAAATTTGATCCTTCTGATATGAAGGCCTTATTCAATAAAGAGCACTTCCCATTCACATAAACGTATTTCTAGAAAAAAAATGTCAATGCTTGGAAAATCCCAGCAACTTATTCCCCTAAAGTAACAAGTTCACAGTTTATTTATATAAAAAAATTATAATTTATTTCACATGAAAGCGTGCAGAGGAAGTTGACTGTCAGGCCAAGGACCCGAGTTCTTAGAACAGGTGTCCTCAGGAAAAGCTTTCCTGCCCACTTGCCACAGCAGCAGTGGAGAGCCGTGATCGCCGCTGCTGGGACCAGGCCCCGCAGGGGCCCCTCTGCTGAGCCTGACTTCTCATCAGTCATCTCCGTGGTGGGGCCGGGTGTGCGGGGAAGAGGACTCAACGTTAGGAGACAAGTAGGTTGGTGGTGGCGATGCCCCTTACCAAAGGAATGCAGCCTCACAAAAAGCAGTCACTAGCTTATAAATAGAAAATGCACCGTGTCAGACACAGTTACAAGTACTCAGAGTACAGAGGTTTGTGTGTAAGTTGTTGCATAAATTACATACTAAGTTGGTTATGAGAGCAAAATTTGACTGAGCCATAATGAGGAAACAAGCACATCATGACTGTCGATGGGAACATCATTCACATCACACAAACTGAGGCCTAAGTGTGAAGTAACCGGACCTCCTGGGGTAGCTGAACAGTCCTAGTTTATTCTCCTTTTCCAATGTAAGTTTAATAGTGCAGCCATGCGCCCCGCTCCCCTTAAAATGTGTTCCAGTTTGGACAAAAAAATTATATGCTGACCTTCCCTAGAATAGTTACTAGCTTTGTTATGGAACATTAGGGTTTGGCTGTGAAGCTGGCAAAATCAGGGCTGTGAATTTTTGCATGTGGATTCAGTGGTCAGATTGGTTAGAGTCATGGACCCGGCAATGTAAACGGCGTGAGAAGGGCTCTCGTGATGACGCCTCAGCTCTGCTGCTCCTCACCCCTCTGAACTTGCTACTTACACAGCCGGCCACGACCGTTATGGAACAATGGGGAGTCTCTTGCCAGCTATCGGGGGGTTTAAACATCACCAACAGTAATGACAAAAGTCTCACACTTTTGTCTTATTTCTGGTTTACCAAACAAAAAGAAGAGGTATGGCTTCAGATCAGGAGCTATTTATTTTAAAATTAATGGTACAAAAGGGAAGGCCCTCTTTCCATCAAACTCCACCACCCCACTACCAAACCTCAACTTATTAGGAATGGCATCTCCACAGAATGAAAAAGCGGGACACTAAGCATTCGGCTAAAACCCAGGGGCCCGTGCCATATACTTGCCTCCCTGACCCTCCCGAATAACTGGCTCGCATGCTCACTCTGGCAGAAGGTCTGTGGCGGGGCTTTGGGAGTGGGGTGAGGTGGGTCAGTGTTCACCCGGGGCAGGCCTTTGCAATGCAGCAGATCTACTTACCCACACTCCAATCGCAGCCCCTTTCCCCCAGGGGATGCCAGGGGTCCCAGAGAGCCTGGCTCCCACCCCGCACTGTCCCAGCACACTCTGTGCATGTCTGCACATGCTCTTGCCCCACAGGCAGCAACAGTCTCAGCGCATCTCAGAGTTCAGTCCTGTAGATGGCCTTAAAACGTAAGTATTCTTCCAAGCACTGAAGAACATTATCGTCGACCTTTGGGTCAAACTTGTTGGCCAACAGGTGATGGTTCTGAAGAATCCAGTGAAGGTCCCCAGTCCCATAAATGCAGACGGACCGCTGGTAGGTGCCAGAGCAAGGCGGATAAGGTGCCCCCATATCGACGTCCCCTTCGTGGCCCTGCCACTTCACCAGCCTGGCAATGGAAGCCATGTCCGACATGTGAAACTTGGGGTGGTAGGGAACAGAGCCAGGCATCCATGGAGCACGCTGCAGGGTGGCCCAGAGGTGTTCATCCGGGCTGTAGGTATCTTTTACCCATTCAATCAGTTGCTGGGATTTGGGGTTCTCTAAGACCTGCTGGACGAAGCCTCGAGAAGCCACAATGTAGGCATTCCCCGTAAACATAGGTAAATTGTAAGGGGGAGGGTCCTTCAACTTGCTGGTCATGTGTATTGTGTCTCCCACCTCATAGTGATATTTCCAGCGAGATGTTTTGGCCTCAGTAGGTACCTCTGACTCCATACTGTTCTTCCCATTCAACATCTTGAGGGCCAGGACCATCTCGGCATTGGTCTTGATAGGAAAGTCTGTTCCACAGGTATTTAGGAAGTATTTCCACGGCACTGAGCTCTGAAGCAAGTCTTCCATACAGTTCAGGTCAGCCTGCACCCTGGACCAGGAGGCATAAACCACCCGGACTAACTTACTGGCCAGGAAGACATTTGGGAAGCATGAAATAATTGACTTGACTGCCTCTCTGAAAGTTTCTGGGGATTTCTCATCCACGTGAACACAATATATGTTCTGAGGGGCATACACAGCTCTCAGCAGCCTTTCAAAGTTTTCGATCTTCTCGTGGACCACCATAGAGTATGCAATAGGGAAATCTAACTCTTCTCTGCTGAGTGGGTGCTGTATGAACTTCCTGTTGGCCTTAAAGTGCTCACAGTCTCTGGTCATGTTGAGGTAGTCGGTGTCTGTGAAAGGCTCCCGTTTGTTCTTGACCTCCAGCTTATCCAGGCGGGCCTCAATCACTGCTTCCTTGTCCCCTCGGATGATTCTAGAACAGTTGATGGACCTCTTTGCTGGCAACCTCAGGGACCTGTACAAGACGTCCCTGCAGTGCCTGCTTTGAAAGTCCCTGGACTCCAGATCCAGGGAATCAAAGTCACATTTCAATCTGAGATAAAGTCTCAGGGCAACAAGGGCCAGCAGCAAATAGCAGCCCAGAGCCCACAGGTAGTGCTGCCCGCAGCACTTCCTCTTCCACCGAATCATCTTCACAGCATGGGAGGTCAGGAGAGTTTGGGCACAGGGAAGGAGGAAGAGGATGGAATCCTTGGACAGAACAAAATGCCTTCAGTTACACACTAACCTGAATGTGTTCCCAGGAACATCAAATTCAACTCCAAAGTAATGGCCAAAAATTTTTCTTCTCTAGACAGATATCCTCAATCGAGACCTGCCTGCCCAGGAACTGCCTACTTGGCTTGCTGATGGAGGTCTATAATCGGACCCTACAATTAGATGATCGTGCTACATTTAGGGCCTTGCTCCACCTCCACCCCAGGAGAGACAAAAGGAAGCAGAACTAAGCACCTGCTACTGTAAAGGTGGAATTAGTAAGAGCAAGTTCCCACCCTTCACGCCACATTCTTTCCCCGCCCCTTACCACCCTCTTTCTAACATAGCTCTTATGGAGGCGTAGAAATTCTGATTGATCCAGAAACATTATCAATGCAATCCAGACTCTCAGTTTCAGTTCCAGAAATTCAAAAGTCCTTTTAAAAGAATGAGTACATTTCTTGTGCTTATATGGCAATTTATATGTTAGAATGTTTTTCACATGTTCATTGGATAAACATAAATCTAACCACCCTTTTAAAAAAATATTCTTAAAAGTAGATATAATCCCAAAATGCATTTAATCATTCATATACATAACTCTTAGTCTATCCAAATTTAAAGTACATTTACATAAGACACACACAGAACTATGCATATACAATATTAAATGAGTGCTTCCTATGAACCAGAAATATTTCTTTACATTTTCCCACTTAATCTTCATGATGTACCTAAAATATGGTTCTATTAGGACATTTATGCACAGGAAAACAGGAGCTAAATAACTTGCCAAATATCACATGTTATAAGAAGCAAATCTGGGACCCTTCACTCTCCCCCCTCCCCTTATTTTTTTCTGTATAAGCCTCTCATTCAACCAAACCACAGCTAACAATACAATACAGGGTGACAAATACCATCAAAGCAAACCAGATACTATAGGTAGAAATCCCTAAAAGGAGAGAAAGAGAAATATGTGACACATCCAGCAATGATTATTTTCCTTTTTGCATTTCCTAAGTATAAGATTTGTATCCACTTCAGTCATATTTTTATAGGAATCCAAGAGGAAGAAAAAAATGAAAAATTCAGAAAATTCTCACCGTCAATAGCTCCCTTCCTAATTTGGGTAGATGTCTTGCCACAGTCTGTTTCTCTTTCCAAGGGAAGATTGTTTGGGTTCCATGGAAGCAAATGTAAACCCCATATCTCTTGGTTTTCTTTTAGCTCCTCCAGAATGTAGTTTCTGATAGTTGTGGGGTGTCCAAGAAACTGTCTCAGGCTCCTCCTTAATTTCTGTGAAGCAGAGAGCAGCAAGTGGCTTTATCACTCACCTTTCAGCTTCCTGCTCTCAGGTAAGAGAACAAGCCCAGATATATTGTTCAGGAACATATTCTCGAGAACAAGTCATTCAGGGAGGTGATTGGGGTAGTAAAACATGCTGCCAGTATCTGAGAAGGCAAGCAGCTCTTTCAAGCAGGACAGCCCAGTTTATGTTGATGCTCTCCTGCCATAAAACAATTCATAAAAATCTGTCCATGCTCACGTAAGAACCTGAAAGCTTTCCCTCCTGGCCCCTTTCACAAAGAATCACAGAGACACACAGGTATGCACCTGCCTTCTGCTGGCCCGGAGTCCAAGTGTCACTCCTCTCACGTTCCCTGAACATTACAAGGGTGAAGCAATAAAAATACAAGAATTGTTTCTTTTGCTTATTTATTTTTTTTAAAAAAAAACACAGAGTTTGTTCTTAAAATGGCAACTACTACAAAAAATCCATCTGCTTGTCTCCCCGTGACTGTTGATAATCTGTACGTTGTACAGGTGTCCACAGGGCTCCAGACTGTGGACCTCCCTTAGTAATATCTGTGAGTCTGGGGGTCCCGGCAGTCTGAAGAATGGGCAACATTACCAGCAGCTAGACTTCGGGGAGAGGCTCTTGGGGTGGTCTTGGCAATAGAGGGTGGAAAATGCCTTCTCCAAAGCCACCAGCATTGCCGGTCACTGTTTGCCTCACTCCCTCACCCCCACCCCACCCCTCCAAACGTGCAGCATCCTGGTCAAATATTTGAAAGAGCAAATTTAATATAAAGACCTTAACTAGGTATACAGTTGATAAGTAAGTAATTGAAAAGGTGTGTGAGGTGGGAAGAGGTAGACAATACTAAATAATTAGGGAGGTAGTGATTGCTGAAAGCAGCTACCACCCCTACCCTACAGGAATAAAGAAAAATGTGAATTATTAAACTTAGAGTTTGGGAAGGCAGGTGCCAGCAAGTTGAAACTAAGATCTGTGATGGGGACACTACTTAGTTATCACTGGGTGCTCTGAGCTCAGCGGAAGGCCCCGTAGGCTAGGATCCAGACCTCTTATGAGGTGGCTGGTGTCTCCGTTGACTTTTGCCCTAAACCGGGCTCAATTCAGCTACATAAAACGAACCACACTCCAAAGCGTAGGCATGGTGACGCTCGCAGAGGTAGGAGGTAGAGAGGAATCAAACGGAAGCCCCGCCTCCGGCTTCACCCTCTCCCTCCAGCGCCCCCTGCTGGCAGAGCCGAGTAGGCGGCTTCCAGCGAAGCGTCAACCGAGTCCAAGAGACCTTCCTCTGAAGACAGTGGCGTAATGACGGAGACAGTGTTGCCTTCTTCCTACAACTGTTTACACAGCCCCCAATATCGTATAGGAACCAGAGAACAGACCATGACTCAAAGAGGCAAGAAATGAAAATAGATTAAGAAGCACAAATAAAGGTTGTGTTACTAGATGGGCTGAGCTGGGGTTTGCAGGACTGAAGAGCAAGGTGGGAGTGGGGGCCCTTAGAGCCCTAACCTTTTTTAATGTTCTGGCAGTGAGCTCTGAGCAAAGATGGGGCTATGAGAAGTGGTTAAACGATCCCGTGTGACCGAGTGTGTTTCCAGTCAGGGGTGTACAAGGAAGCTCGCGCTCGGCTGTCGTTTCCTGGCCGGCAGGGGCACTCTTCGCGCCCTCCTTCAAGCTCCGCTGGCTCTGTGCACCCTGTGCTCTCCCTCCCCTTGGACACACTGGAGGAAAAGAGCAGATATTCAAGAAAGAAACCCCACAGAACTCAATAATCACTAAGTCACTGTAATAAAGAATTATTAAAAAGGAAAATTCTGAAAGTAGGCAAGACAGTGATCTCAGATGACATAATGCTATCTGCTCTGCAGAGGGAGAGGGTAAGAACAACCATGTGTTTTGTGCCCCCTCGCGGGTCCATGGGGGTTTATGTCCCTCCCACAGCTGGATGAGAGCTCGAAGGTGGTAGTCACCGTGAATGTTTCCTGAAAGAACGGCTTCTTCAGCATTCCAGGGAGGGTCTCAGTCCTGGAGTCTTGGACCTATATAGCTTTTTAATATTTACTGCAATAAATGCAGAGAGGCTCCCTAAGGTATAAGCTATACACTAAAATACAATGTTGCAGAGTTGAAGCCAATTGAAATAGAAGCAACACTTAAGGGGATAATTTTGTTTGGGAAACTCCCAAAGGATTTGGAGGCCTGTTAATAAAGTGATTATTGCATCATTAGGAAGCAGACTTCTAAGTGGAAGGTAACAAGGCAGCACACTGTGCATTCATTCCTTGTAACAACTGTTGATTGAGGAAGCGGCGAACTTTCAAATGCTAAAGATACAAAGTTGATTCAGACTGTCCCTACTCTCAAGGTGCTCAGTCTTGGGTGGAAGGAATATTTGAAACTACATCATAATAGTCATGTCTAAGCACAAAAAAAGACCTGCACTGGATAGAGTGGAAGCCCTGAGGCTGAAACTAAAAAGGGAACAGTTAGAAATACAGGGGCAAACAAATGAGAAGGGCTTTGGCGAGTGCTTACTAGAGGAGCAGGTATGTGAGTTAAAGATGTTCCCTGACTGCAGCCATTTGGAGAAAGAAAGTTAGACCCCTACTCCACAGTATAAATATAAATACATTTCAGACTTAAATCTAAAAAGAAAAGACTCCAAGTTTAAAATTTTAAGATTTAAAATTTCCTGGAAATATATAAATATTCTTATGATCCCTAAATTGGGAAGATCTTTTTAATATCACACCAGAACAAAAATGTAATTGGAAGTGTGAAAGGGTGAAGCTCCTTAAGAGTCTATGCCCTTTTTCACTATTAAAAACCTTTTATTTATTTATTTATTTATTTATTTAATTTATTTATTTAGAGAGGGGTAGGGAGAGAGAAAAACATCAAGATATATGAGCAAAACATAAATCAGCTGCCTCTGGCACGATGGGGGACTTGGCCCACAACCTGGGTATGTGCCCTAACTGGGAATCAAACCCGCAACCTTTCGGTTCCCAGCCCAGCACTCAATGCACTGAGTCACACCAGCCGGGGGTTTCCTTCTTTCTTCCGTTCATTCTCATGAATGCAGATGTAATAGCCAGAGCTCCAGCACTGTCTAGGACCTGGAAGCAGCGCTGAGAATGAAGGAGCTGAAAGATGAGTACCACCGTGGAACCACTTCCCCAGTCCTGGACGCTCTGCTCCTGGGCTTCATCTTTCTGAGGCAGAAATACATTCCTATCTTATTTGGCCACTGCGTTTTCAGGCCTCGGGAAGGGCACTATGCAACCTAGTGACTGACTCATGGTAGCCTTGTAGGAACTTTCCAGAATCTATATCAATGGCAGTCAACGAATATAATTTTGTGAAAAAATTAGATAATGTTTTACCTGTCCTTTTGAAACTCACTTTTCCTCTTTACAATATACATCGAAAGTCATTCAATGTTAGTACATTTTTATCAATGTAAAAGAAGTTATCTACAATGCATTTTATTTTTTAAAATACGTTTTATTGATTATGCTACTACAGTTGTCCCAGTTTTTCTCCTCTTGCCCCCTTCCACCCAGTTCCCCCCTTCCCTCCAGTAATACCCCCCCTTAGTTCATGTCCATGGGTCATGCATATAAGTTCTTCAGCTTCTCTATTTCCTGTACTGTTCTTAACATCCCCGTTTATGCTGTACCTACCCAATTATGCTTCTAATTCCCTACACCTTTTCTTCCATTTTCCCCCTTCCCTGTCCCAGCTGATAACCCTCCACATGGTCTCCATATCTACG